TGACAGAATAACTGCAGAGATTAGGTTCGTCTATTTGTCAGAAAATTAGTATAAATCACGAAGATGTGTGATAAAAAGTTACTTGCCATGATCCCAGAGATTTCTGTACAATTTGTACGCATCAAGAAAAATCATTTTTGAAATAATCTTGGTAGCTGAAATTTGGATTATTTCATGATTTTGTCCAGCAATCTTCCTTGGATCTCTTAAGAGTAATGATCACATATAAAATCATCAAACAGTTTGTAATGTTGATCGGTCAAATCTATACCAAATCATATACAATCATACGGAATGTCGATCTTAATAAGTAAGAAGATCTTTGTTGATGAGATGTAAATAATGTGGAAAAAACTGTTTTTGTGTTCTCCGTTATGTTATTGATGGTTAATACATGGTGGATAAAAGCAGTATCTGTCTTTACAAGAGACTAATATCAGTTTATATAACAGTTTATATTTCAAAACGTTTTCAAGGGGCGATGTGTATATAAAAACCATATTCAAACTAGCTTTCTCCAGAATAAATCTGAATGCGACATTACCAGAGTGATTAGAGATTGGGCGCAAACTACCTGTCGTTATACATTTGCCAAAAGACACCTATTTGCATTCCATCCCTTTTCCCTTCATGGCGTTCCAATTAGCCCTCGCATATAACGCCTCTTATGCCAACCTTTCTTTGAACACAACGAACCTTTTCCGAGGTAGCATAGTACCTTCAAAGTCAGGGTTGTGTTTTTTTGAAAAAATTTAACACTGTCACTGGTCTATTCACTCGCATCATAATGACTCAAATTATGTTTACTTAAAAGTCCCATAATCTTCTCCGATATTTCTGCATGGAATGGAGTGAATACAGTGTTTTCCTATCTCTTTCGTACACACTTCAATTATAATACTTAAATTTTTATTTAAATTTCGAACCCGAAGATGACTATAAATATAGTGCCTACAACACAGCCTCACTCCAAATTATGACTGCACAAACACTTATTATAACGTCATATCTTATTGCAATGAAAAGTTATTGACAGGTGATATATCTAGTGCCATGTGACAATTTGTCGGCTTTATACATGGGATCAAAGGAGATATAAATGTTTAGACTGTGTTGCGCATAAGCCAAACGATAAATTGGTTTTATGTCAAATCTTCGGATTTGAATGTAGTTTTCCTTTAAGACCAGACACACCCTTTTTGCGACAAATTTACAAGTCTCATTGTAGTCAGTTAAGCACCAAATTAAAGGTGATCTCGACACACAATAGAGTCAAGATCCAGAAAACTAGAACAGACAATAACTGAGTACAAATTTTCTGACATTTCAGTATATCATCCTGACAAGGCATTATTAAATTACTTCCAAGTGTGGTCCGAATTTCCATGAATTTTTTTAAATATCTGTATGTAGGTGTTATGTCACCAAGGTGGGATATTTGAAAATATGTACACATAACTAGGTGTCGGTTAGCACACTATTATGTTTCCGGTTTAGTGACTTCACAACATCATTCTTATGTCATTTTGTTAACCAGTGAAAACAATTTATTTCGTGAGGTTTAAAACCCATTACGAGGAATGCAAAACAGCCCTCTGAATAACGCTTTTTAAAATTTAGCGAGAGGTTTAATATTGCTGTAGTCATTGATAAATTATTCATTTTGCCACAGCAAAGCATATGTGTCCTCAGACAGTAGCTAACATATTATCCTGTACTTCATCAGCATTACGATTCTACCTAAATTAAAAATCTGCCATAGCTGGAAAAATACGGTAAGTGATTGTAACCAATGACTAAAGTTTGTTTACTATTGAAAAGTAAGTTTGAAATTCTTCAGAATTCTGGCTTCATCATGTTGTAGTCATGAGTGTGCTCTGTGATGTTTAAGAGTATTTGAATTATAGTATGAACCAGTAATCCCAGAAACAACGCAATTAAATCAAGAAGTATTAGATGGGCACGAACGAATGAACTGTATTTGGAATTCAAAATCAAAACAGTCATCAATACAAGGAAATCATTGATTCATATAAACATCACACCAGTTTAATCTCATCAATGCTTTATTCCTTTGGTTTCCACAGAGCAAATTTTATAACTTTGTAGTTCTGATAATGCATAGTTTTCTTGGCAACTTCAGTCAGTTTACTAAACTAATGCTCTAACCACTAAACCATGGGGGTTCTGGCTATAATTTTTCTCGCCGCTATAGGACTACTTCGCATCACATTACCAAGAGTATATAACAGTAAAACAACATTTCATAAAAGATAGACACTTCGTAATTGAGTAAGCTACCTTCATATTTGTTATCATTTCGAAGTGTTTGCTGTTGAAAACTACACACCAGGTGTTCACTTGACATTTTATACTTGGCTAAATTGAGTTGTCATACTATTTACTACCACTATTGAAAATCTGGAAACGTGGCTGAGAAGGCGTGGTCAGTCTGTATAATTGTGGTCTACTTCTTTACTACTACTGCTCCAACAATAGGCCTATTTTTAAAATTGTAGATTTATCATGATGTAACTGCCCAATCTGTAAGATCTTACGTGGAAAACACATCAGTGTATACACCGGCTCATCTTACCATAATCATCACCAATATATGATGCAGAACAAATTTAGGCTGAAGATATAACAATATATTTAATATGAATAAAAGAGTCAAGTTACACAAGAATGACCACGCCTGCAAGACTGAGCCATGTCATCCGATTGGATTCAATTGACTTACTTCTTCCCCCCTTCTCCATCATTTGGTTCTTCTCCATTAAATTTTGAATATCGAATTTCACGATTGTCCCGTGTTCAGCTTTGTCGATTGTGTAGTTAGGGCCCAATGACACTACAAGTTGTCCGGTTATTTAGAGAGTAGTAGTGTAAAGGAATACAACTTATACAAATATGAACGATCAGAGAAGGCAGGGATTTAATACCGCTTAAATCCACCATTATTTTGATACCACTATTTTTGATTCCAGTAGCAACAACGTAACGATACCTAAAGTGGTTAAGTGTTCTGATTTTCTTGTTTTAAGGAAGCATTTTTTATGTTGTAGACATCTTAGGATGCATATAGCAAATTTTCAGCGTTGAGCTAATGCACCAAGTAGGCTGAAGTGCACATTTGACTGTAATTACCTGATCTCTTTGGGAAGATGTAGAAACCTTCAGTATTACCTGCCGGTTCTGTTACTATTTCCTCAGACAAACAGCCCAGGAACGTATATAGTGATTCATTATTTAGATTAACATGTTTCAGTATATCACTACTTGGTGTAGCACTCCATTCATCTTAAACAACGAAATATTTAGGTTCTCTTGCTGCCTTCTTGAGCATTTCTGCTAACAGAAGACTAAGCAGTGTTTTCTCTTCGTCTCACTTTATCCATACATGAAGGTCGCCACCAGTCGCAAGTTCGAAAAGGCAATCCTAGACTGTTGACCTGGAAGCTGATTCACGTGGCTTTATGGATTGAGGCCTTTACTTACAAGCAAGAATTAAAGAACTCATACAAAAGTATTAATGTTATCCCTGAAACTAGCTTTGCTACAGAAAACTGTGGACCTGTTTTGAAAGTTGTCATCATTTCCTACATAATTGATAGCAGGAGTTTTTCCATTAGGTGGTATTAAAGTGTGCTTTGAGAGCAGTTTTCAACTGAAGATTCAAATATTTCATTATTCCATAAACCTGACCGTGAAATATTGCACAAGATATCTTGTTAACTCTTGGTAATGTCCACCAGTTGTTGAATAGCTGATTCATATTATGGTCATCCATCTGTTAACATCTATTTCTGTATGAAGGCTCTTGACATCTTTTTGTTTGTGATTCTCGTTATTGCTTCAGTTCCTGATTATCTGTTGAATCTATTTATTCATGTATTCATACGTAGTTTAAGGTGTTGGAATGCATTTAGAGGACTACCACATCACCCGATTTTCCTCACCTTAGATGTGTCACGTACTAGTGAATCCTTTGCCTCATACATGTTTCAAGTAGTCAGCATCCAGATGAATCCCTAAAATTTTACTTACGAACATGGAACATCCTATAGGGGTAAGTAAGTCCCCGAAGTCAATGGTCTTTTAAGTCTTTGACATTGTTGCTGACCTCATTAGCTTTATTGGACACATCTAGCTGAAGGATTTCGTCACGCATACCCATCGGAACATGGGTGGGTACGCTGAGCTGGTGATCAGATTAGGCCAAAAGCTTCTCCACATATCCATAGCCTTTCAGATAAACCTTCGAAGTCCTTCACTTCTGACCTCTGTTTTGACTGGGTTGATTTACTGCGATTATAGGGACCTCACTTGTAAAAGCGTTGCGGAAATCCGAGTACCTTTGACATCTTTCATCTCATTTCCTCAGGGAAAAGACGTTTCTAAAAGTACCCCATCGATTTCCAAGCATTTTCAACTAATTGAATAGAGAAACCACCCACCAGTTACTTAACTCGTATTGTTTGTCAGTTGCAAACTCTGTTATTACCACGCTGTCTCCAGTCAACCCCACTTCTCTCTGAAAAAATATAAGAACAGTTGAGACCTATCAAGCATTGGAGAGGGGTATAAAGTTCAGCCAGAGCATGTGGTGGAGTCCGGCATTGTATTCCTTGGTATTTTCACAGGAAAAACATGAGATACGCCAGCTGTGATCAAATGAGATAATTGTAGCTTATTTGGGAGCAAGTGAATGAAAATCCGCAATAATTGCGAAACAGCTAGTTTCAAGTTAAAGTCAATGGGAATTAGGTTATACATCCTATCGTAAGATTGACTGAAGTTTCAATGGTGGCTAGACTAATACGAACTCTGAATCACTATCAGTTTACGTTCAGGAATTTCAAAATAATTCAGAAAGATTTTCTACAAAAAAGTGGTGTCACCCTATTCATCACTATGAATACACTGGAAACAGGTTAGTTTCCAGTTCTTATTAAAGTTTTGTTTAAATGAGGTGTCAATTAATCAAAGGTTGTGTTCAACAAGTCCTGTAAGTTACATAGCTAAGTTTGATCAGACTTTCTTATGTCGTTATTCAATTGTCACAAGTAATTTAAAATCACCAAATCAGTTTTTATTATTAGTCCCAAGTGTATTGTTTCGTAAACTTTTGAGTCCCGCTGGCGCTATGATGTTACGCTAAGTTGTCCAATATTCTTGTACAGAACCTAGTAATATGGTTGGTAAGGGTTTTGTGGGTGATAAAATTTCCATTTGTTTGCTCCTATAAAGTGGTAATGTTGATTGTGCCTTTGCTCCTAAGTGTTTTGGTTTTGATATTTGTAGCTTAATTCCAACTGACCCTGATTTATCAGTGCAAACACTGTAATTGTATTGTTCTAATGTTTATACAGTATTGGTTTGATTTGGGATCGTAGATCGTTATATTATATCTGTACTGATCATAGACAGTTTTGTTTATGATTATCTGCACCATATATACGTGTGGTCGACTGGTTGATGAAACGTGTGAATATTTTTAATACATATCACACTTTATCACTTCGGATTTCAATGCTGGCTAACATAAGAGCAGATTTAAAACATAATTAGCCGTGCAAGACACATTTGAAACTTTATGCTTTCCAAGTATAATTAATGCAAAGAAACATAGGAAAAGGAAGTCAAATTTTATTAGGTTGGTTTGATGTATTTTTCGGTATTACATCGCAAGAAGCATTACTTCTCATGAATAAATAAGATTGTTCATAAATCATTTTAAAAAATGTGGCTAAATAGGTTTTTAACGCGTCATCAGTAAGCTCAAAACGTCTCAGCTATGAACATTATTGATACAGACGATCAGTACAGTACAGGGCACTCAAAAAAACGTTGGAGTTAAGACTTTCAATGTTTAGTTTTTAGTATGTAATTTACAGCAGTAGTGCTTCTGGATAAACATGGAATTTTCAGTGATCCATTTCGGTCTCAAACCTTCCACACTAATAGTTTCGAACTCTGACAGTTGGGATAGTTTTCCATTGCTATTCGGTTCAGCACACCAAAATGAACAACGAATTCATAGAAGTAGCTAATTTAATGGTGGTAATATATAGAAGAAAGATTGTATGTAAGGGTGTAGTACAAGAAGAAAGATATGAAACAATTTTAATCTCAAGGTTGGAAAGAAGACAGAGAGTGTATATACCTACGCTATTGTGATCGATTATGAGCTATGTCACCCAGAGCCGTAAACCATTGGTTACGATAGTCGTGCGGACCCAACCCAAGTAGTCTACATCTACCAACGTGGCTCAGTCAGAAGTTAGTGACTTCAAGGACTGCTACTGAGATTGGGTTTGGGCGCTTCTAACTTTCTTCCAACCATCCCTTATACTAGTCAGCATCGCACGCCGTGATAATCGGTGTTCAGGCATACTTAACACGTGGCCCAACCATCTCAGTTGATGGAGATTTACAACCTCGTCAACTGATTTACTATCATTCCTAATACTCTGCGTCTAACCTCACTATTACTTACCCGGTGATCCCAGCAGATGCTGGCAATATTTCTAAGACATTTGTGTTCAGGTACTAGCAACTTACGAATGTCTTCTACTCTTAATGGCCATGTTTCTCAGTCGTAAAGTAGAACAGAGCGAACTGCCGCACAGTATACTCGTCCCTTAATTGATATACGAATATCTCGTCTTCGCCATAAGTGACGTAAGTTGGCAAAAGCCAAACGAGCTTTTTGAATCCGTGCGGAGATTTCATCACAAACCGATTTATTAGGGCTGATCAAACTTCCAAGATAAGTGAAGTTGTCGGCGTGTTCGATTACTTCACTCTCTATCCTTAGTTCAGGTGTTGACGCAGACCAGTCCTGGATCAATAATTTACATTTAGAGGGTGAGAAACGTATCCCAAACATCCTGGCGTTGTTACTCAGTGCTACCAAAATGCTGCATTTTATCACCGTTTTCATCAAACAGGACTATATCATCTGCGTATTCCAAGTCAATAAGTGAATCTCCTGATAAGAGATCAATTCTTGAAAATTCATTCGAAGAGAGTCTTTCCAGTAGTAGGTCTATGATGAAGTTACACATGAAGATAGTGGACAGCCTTGCCTGACAGCACTTGAGGTCGCAAAATCTAATGACAGTTCGCCATTAGCTATCACTCGACTGGTAGTGTTCAAGTAAAGAGCCTTCACAAGGTTTATTTACTTCTGAGGTACACCTTTCAATGACAATCACTGATACAGAACCTCTTGGTCTACAGAGTCAAGTGCTGCTTCCAAGTCAAGAAAAACTATCATTGTCTGACACCGATAAGCATGCTTGTGTTCTAAAACCTGGCGAATAGTGAATATGTGGTCGATACAGCCACAACCAGGTCTGAAGACAGAATGATTTTCTAGTGTTTGCAGTTCACGAGTAATAGGCACCCGATGATTATTGAGGCTAGTATTTTAGATGCTATATTAGTCAAACTAATGCCTCTATGGTTATCACAGGATGATTTTAGCCCCTTATTATATATTGCGGCAATCAGTGATTGTGACCAGTCAGACGGGATTACGTCCAACTCCCAAATTTTAGCTAAAATATTAGTTAAACTAATTGCTAATCTTAGACCACATTTAAAGACATTTGGAGCGAATCTTTCTGGACTTGATGCTTTTCCTTGTTTCAGATTAGCTATAGCCTTTTGAACTTCAGTTAGAGTCGGGGGACCTACTTCAATGTTCCATTCAGACTGTTTGGGAATAGTGTTGAACTATATATAATGGCTAAAGGCCAGTTAAATTGTTGTCTAAAGTGTTCTGCCCATCATTATAAGCTTCTGGGCTGAGAGAGGATAAGGGTACCATCTTTTTCCGAGATTGTCTCGCTTACAACTGACCTCTTAATTCCGGTTTATTCCATTGATCTGAAGAGTTGTCTGGTGTTGCCTACATCCACTGCCTTTTCCATTTCTTTTGCTTTCGTTGCCCACCACTTCTTATGATCGTTCATTAAACCTTTGGTTCACCTAGAACTGTTCAGAGCTTTTCCGTTATTGACTATCAGGTCGTTAACACCGTTTTCCAACAATTTGAAATTCCATGTAAATCCCAGTTCGTATTTTGGATATAATTCTGCATATCCCTTTTTTGTCTTGTCGTTGATTAACATAACATAGTGTTTGAAAGTACTCAATAAATGGCGTTCCTAATGCTATTTATTGCAGTTTTTAAGCTACTTATTCAGCTTTAAGGCCTGGTTTTAATTATGAATGTTTTTCATCTCCATCAAAACATTTTCGATTTAGATCATGAATCGATTGATGTTTCATCACCACTGAAAATGTGGGAGCACTGGACGAGAAAGTTCTCGGAGTTCTAGTGAGAAGCCGTGACCAGTGGAGCATAGTCTGCGTCAGGTAGAGACAGGTATCTAGCTCAGTCAATGGAAGATGGTCACGCGATTTCATGGATCGGTTGAAGTTAGACATTAACACTGTTGAATGCTGGTTTAGTGGTCTAGAGGATAAGCGTTCGTGCGCGAAATGGAGGGCCCTGTGTTCGGACCCCGCTTGCAGGGTCGTAAGTGTGCACTACTGAGGAATCTTATACTGGGACGAAATGGCCATCTATTGCTTGGAAATTTTCGATGGTGGTCTAACATCAGTCGACTCACTGATTTCAATTAAAAACTTAACAATCTCCACAACCCCATACTGATAAAACACATTTAATGCACAAAAATATCAAGGTTGTTTGAGGATTCGAATATGATTAGGCACAATGTATCATACCCATAACTTCATTCAATGAAAATTACTATTGCCGTTTATCTATTTATTAACATAAAATTCACTGGTCTTAATAATAGTGTTCTTAATTCCTGAAGTAGCTTTCGCTCTACCATCTAATATTCTTACTGTGTGGATTTGTTACTGGTTGTATGATCTATATCTTGTAAATCACCTGGAAGTCATTACCAAATGTTTCATCTTTTTATTTCTTTGTTAGAATTCATGATTTCTAATCAACACAATAATGCTGCTGTTTCGTATGCATATAATGCAGCGAATCGGCAACAGAGACAAATACAAATTGTTGATGCCAATTCTTTGCAGCCTCTATCAGAATCACTCGTAAATGAAGAATTTAAACGTGACGAAATCCCAGTTCAGAATACTCAAGTGGTTTATGGAACTTCTGCTGCCGGCTTTGCACCAGTTGTTGGGCAAAATGTTCAGCTTGTTTCATCAGTACCTAATACAATAGAATTAGCGAATAATGCATATGATTCGTCAATGGTTGTCCCTCAAGAGCCTTCACAAGCAGGCTTAGATATCGAACCCATTGATTTAGAAGAGGTTCAGAAAATCCAGGCTCGCATGCCAGCTGCTGATCCAAATGCTCCTGTGGGTTCAAATAAAAACCCCATCAGGATTATACAACAAGGAAACCAGTACATAACTACACAGGATGTATCCGACGAGCACTTACAACAGATTATTCAAGTCCTAACAAATCAAGCATTACTGTCAAGTAGCGGTTCTCGACCAAGTGCAATTTATAATCGTCTCACAAATCGTCGCATTATATTTCGTGTAACACGTGCAAAGCGTCGTCATGATGATGGAAATACAGGAGCTACAGCACTAAGTGGCGAGCGAACTAGATCCAGTATTACTGTTAAAAGTGAGAAAAAAAGTCGGGCTGGTCGACCTATTGGACGAAAACGTAGAAAACGTGGTTCAGATGAGGAAGATCCTGACTTTGAACCTGAGGTGCCGGAAGAAGAAGTTTTACCATTTCCATTAATTAGACGAACATCTGCTTCTGGTCGTGTATCAAAGCCTCCAAAACACTTGGTGAGGAAACTATCATGAAGTACTTTTGCATACAGCTCTACTTGTCAATTTTCAGTTTATTAAACACTTCGAACTTGAATAATATTTAGTCAGTGTTTGTTACGACAGTTTCGTAACTTATTACCTATTTAACTTTTACTCACTTGTTTAGACATTCAAATGTTCAACTACTAAATTACCACTGAAACTCTTGTCTTTCTGCTTAGACTTGAGTTATTGGATGGTAGCATTAATGCTCAATGAACTCGGTACACCGTACTGGTACATAGAACTTCGTGTAACTATTGCACTGCGTTTTACAACCCATGTTGTATACTTGGAGGCCTTTACTGAAATTTGTTTTAATTAAAAAATTAATTAGGTGTTGTCCTCAATACTTATATACGCTTTCTAACTATGTCAGTCAAACGAATGTGTATGGAGAGTAGATAAAATAGAAAAGTATCTCTTTAACTAGTTTTATTGTATGGCTATATACCACTATATTCTACAGTTATAATACAATCGTAATTAAGTAGTAATGCCAACTTGTAATATTTCTTCACGAGTGATTATTAACTGTTGAATTATTATCTATATCTTCGTATTAATCTATCATGGTTTTCATGATCAGTTAAGAAACTATAACCTAATCGATTGGTATTATATATTCATTGTAACACATACATTAGTGAACGGCCATGATAGATAACTAATTGGAGAGTGATATTTCTTTGTTCTATTTGTTTCTTATTATAGATCTGTAAATGAGAATCCTGACTTTGCTGAGACAAGTTTTCGTTCAAGACATACTTCAATTTATAAACTGATTGATATAATATTTTATTTTATTTAAACACAAATATTGGTACAAGGAAGCACCAGATAAATATGCGCCTCACAAATCTCATTCGATTTGTGTGAGGGCTGTGATACTGACCAGGTGCCCAGACTGAAGCAGGTGGTTTTCTTAAGGGGCCACACCCGGAGCCTTTGACCTAAAGGTCTAATCCACAAGGCAGTGGAGCATCGTAAGGAGATGCAGTCCCATGGTAGCCGGTGACCAACAATAGGTTCATACGCCAATTGTTCCCTCAGGATACTGGAGCCTATGTGCACCATTGATTTGGAATCAGGGTTTTCCAACTCCCCTAGGTGGATCCTCCACATCCACTAACCCGGTTAAAGCGCCGGACATTCGCTTTTTGTCCTCTCACTTTTGTGAACAACACCACCGCCACGATAATATTATAGCTTTCCGACGTATCATAGATGTGTCTAGTAGCTTATAAGTGATCACCACATTATTTTAGTGGACTTTGAGTGACGGTTTATATGTGTAAAATAAATTTGCAATCAGATGCAATATTGTATTTGTTCAAGTTGCTACATTCCCTTTAGGTGCGAGTAAATTAGTTTACTTGGCAAATAACAACTATGGTAACTATTAAATTAAGGTAATCTTAGTATTGATAAAAACCCATCGTGGCTACTGAGTGGATTTTCTTACTCCGCTCCTGCTTCGTTTAAGTGCATCTTATCAAAATAGTCATCAACTTGGCGAGCTCCCACTAGTTTAGAACATAAGTTCCTTAACTAATATGATATTTGCTTCAAAATCATTGCTTACTTAATGGTGGGCCGGTGGCTCAGTAGTTAAGGCTTCTGACTTTCTTCTACCAAGCCTCAGATTCGGACACCGTTCCGCTTCAGTTTGATAGAATGGATAATGTCATTAAACCCTCATTTGGAGTGTGACTCGTAGCGAAGTACTCAAATCTGTACTCATACTTGTGTTTCATTAAATACGACTAGTGGGTTTACCGCGTTAGTCGACAAAACCTTTTATGAGTGATCGATGGCAACTGGTGGTATAACATTAAGGGTGAAGCCTGTTTTTTTTCCATGCTTAGTAACCAATTTGTATCCCAAATATTTTTTACGATATCCTGCATAGGTCATCTGTAGGTGTTTTATGTATTTTCAGGTTAAGGACTATAAACATTTGCGTCTAGAAGATTTGACATCTAAACCGGAGTCAAGTGAAGAAGATGAACACTCCGATGGAGGTTACTCTGATTATATTAACGATGGACTTTCGGATGAAGGTTGGTCCGAAGATGGCACAAATAGAAGTAAGTTTTTATGTATTGTCAGCATTTCTGTTGTTTCAGTTGTTACTGCGTTTTCATTATGAGTTGTTTAACACTACGACGATTGACATATTTCTTACTCATTAGTTTCTGTAATTTAAAATCTTAACATATAAGCTTATAACTTTCAGAAATACCAAACATCTTTGTGTGTTGGGATCATTTAGACAAGCTATACCTTTGTGAAAGGTTTATTACTACTGAAACAGTAAGTTTTGTGACCACTAAACATATATCTACTAATTGGCTTGTCCTTTTTTATAAGGTCTTCGCCCCGTTGGATCGTACTAAAGTCTTCGTTTTTATTTGTTGTTTTAGTTTCAACATTAACGTTTAAATGAGACGTATTGCTACGGTTGTCGTTGCGATGGTAGTTCCTCTTAATTATGATATTGCTTAGTATTGAGTTGGAGCTTTGTGATATTTAATAAATTACATCCTTATCAGAACTGCATAAATCTGTTTATATTAATTTTAGGTTTACGTTGGCCATGTCCATTGTGTACTAAAGTGTTCACTTCTCGTGCTGGAGTAGCACGACATCGAAGCATTGCTCATGGTCCAAATCGTGGTAGACCTCGGGGCCGTTGGGCCAACCCATACATGGCTAGTGTTCGACGTAGAGCCAAATTGAAAGAGGTAGTTTCTCATGTTATGTTCAGTTAGTTTTTATTCCAGTCTATTATTTTTCGATTTTAAACGAATTCGGTAGTTTACAATAACAAGCTAAAAGAATTCATACCTTTTCCATCCTTTTTATTGTAAAAATTGTGTTTAGTTAGTCGAAGCACTTTATCCGTTTTCTTTGTAATGCGAGTAAACTGAATTCTTATCATTTACTAAAAGTGCAGCGTTCTTATACTTTACCGCCTGAGGTTTTGTTGTAATGCTCACAGGTACTTGTCCGTTTGTCCACCTGGCGAACCACACATGACCATCAAAAATAACAAGATAGTACATCAATACAAAATAAAATTTAACCAAACATTTTCTCTTCAAAATATACAATACCTCCTTATAGTTATGTATCCAGTTTTTTCTGTTTCCATTCACTATCCACCTACAGCCTACAATGACTAGAGAAATCAAGTTTGGTAAGTTATTAGCCGTGATCACATAATCCAATGATTTGTATGCTTAAAACAAGTTCGATAGGATGGAATCAGATTTTAGACGCAGTCTTTGTGAGTCGTGTGTATCACTTAGTGAGTCAGTTCATCAACTTGTTAATTACTAATTGTATAACAGTCAGTCAGATATACACAACGTAGAACCTGGGACATGTGTACATAATATTATTTCATCTAACTTATATTTTTTCTGAATGACTGCGGGATCTATATGGAATCCTCACTGTTGTGTAATAGGTTTTTCTCAAATTTTATATGAATCGTAAAACGCCGACTGTCTATGTATACTTTTGATTTATTTGCACAAATATTGCGTATTAAAGATTGAAACATACGGTTACTAATTTGTTCAAAGTACTGTAATATACCATCTAAAGTTCTGAAGTGTAAATTATTTCTGAAGATGTGAGATCTTTAGACAAATAATAAAGCAAGTTAAATTATTTTCTTCTTGATCTCAACAACTTAGTTTAAATCATTAACCGAGCTCAGATTCATGTTTAGAGCCACGCATTATATGTCAGAGTTAATTTTATTATGTGGCTTCCAACTTCGGTTCCTGGGTCGGGTTTCAAACTTGCAACCCAATAATTGATTGTTCACTACTTTTAATATTGAACCAGCTCATAATTTGAGTACACATAACCTTTACTTTATTATAGGATAGAATCTAGATTTACAATCTAATGGAAATCGGAAATATTGCTGATATTTGTTACTTTCAACTTTTTATCCAATTACTTATTGGATGCTCAAATCAAACAATCATTTGCTTATCACTGTGTAAGTAGGGCAAACACTGCACTTTCAAAATGTGAAGCATTCGTCTAACATTATCAAGAGCTTTTTCGTTCTTTCATAGTGATAAACCGTTTGAAATATTCAGAATGTTAGGTTTCTCATACTTGTGAAAATATGAGCGATGTGTCAGGGAAGATCGCTCTTCGTATAACAGAATCCACAGCATTATAAATCAATATGCACGACCTTTCTTATCGTTTGGATGCCTACTCATTTGTTATAAATTAGATATACATCACTTCTGTGTGTATATCTGCAACGCCCCGTTTTCAACTAGAGGTTTCCTTTGTATTCCTGCTTTCCGCCACTCCGATATTTTTGAGATTTCTTACTTTTAACGTTAATACCGAGTTATATACCCTAAGTCAGATTTAGTGATATGAACGTGTTTTACAGCATACCTCGAAAAAACAAGTGTTTACCAGAACCATAAAATTGAGCATCAAATTCAAGTTCTCATAGGTTTTTTAATATTTATCATTATAGTTGTATTTCCTCATTGTAAGTCAACATAGTTGTTGTAATCAATGTTTAATGTTTCTGTACCCTGTGTTTTCTTTTTAAGGCTGTTTCTGAAGCTACAGATGATGATTTAATTGAATTTGTTGCACCACGTTTGTGTAAATTAATTAGTCCATGGGATCATCTTCTTTTACGTTCAGAGCATGGTAATCCTCCTCTTCCTCAAGTTCCTCGTGTTGTCTTGGATTACTTGAGCTTAGTAGAACGTGCTCGATCATTTCTTTGTGATCAATTAGAACCACGAATAACAAAAAAATCGAAGCAATCAAATGAAATGAATTCAGAAAGTCAAAAAGGTAACAAGCAAATTGTTTGTTATAGTAAATAATCCAAGTATTTTTTTAAATATTTTTGTCAGCGCTGGTTAATCATAACTATCTTTCCATTTCTCTCTCAATTTAATGTACTTTACTTATAATACATAGAAATGATTTGCAGAACTCATATTTATAGCTAAGTAGTTTGTACTTGTGTTTTCTTAATCATGTAACTATCCTTCTTTTCTTTTCAGATGGTGAAGACGATAACGATGAAACAAGTGACTCTCCTAAGAATAAGGAAAATCATTCTGATGTAAAATCACAAGATAAATCAAATGGCGTTCGTGCTGCTGATGATGATGATGGGGATGATGCCGAGGAAGAAGAAGAGGAAGATGATGATGGTGCAATCATAGTTAAGGTTAGTTGCTTCTCCCTGAACTATTTTGTCTTTGTCTTACTAAGTAAAAGTATTATCAAGAGTCTTCGCTTCCTGTTGTGTTGATCTTGTTAGGATCAAAGTTAAATACTTAATCCATTTTTTCTAAATATCCTCAAGGTCTTGTAATATAACCTTATTTAGTGAGTAAATGTTCTATTAAAAGTCATTTAAAAGTGAAACTAAAAAAATTTAATCTATTACTTGTTTCAGTAATCTGTAAGCAAAGTAATTTTTTTAGTTTGTCACAGGGATTAACTTTACCTAAATCGCTATTGAGAACTATAAAACATTAGACAACTATTTATATCTACTAGAAATTTTTGAATAGTGCGCATCTATGAATCTACTAGGAAATGTGCCTTCGAACTTTCAGGCCTCTCAGCAAGCACCTAAATTCTTAACTATTAAGTTAGTATTCAACGGCTTGCATTTTCAACGTTATCCAGTTCGTAATATTGCGTAACTATCAACCGTCGGCATATGTTTTACCTATCTCACACCCGATGTGGTTGAACTCGAATCTTAACCCAACTCATATCTGTGCTAAGCTCTAAGTCGATGATGATTGACTACACAGCAATGGTCACGGCTCCTCATTAGAAATCAAGAGTTTTTTCGTTTGAAAATAGTTTCCGTTATAGATTGGTATCATTTGAATAACTATGGAAAATTATGTTTTACTGGTCAGATATTTCGCAGTAGCTTCAGATTTAACAGTGTGTACCAATGTTTCCACACGTGACTCAGCTCAAGGCCATTGCGTTACGAGGTGGTTGCTATATCATTCAGTTGGTGTGTTTTCATTTGATGGTTCGCATTTTCAAATTCAGGTTAATTTGTCGTGCAAATGTCCTCAGTGAGCATCCATCTCACTTCTAACTTTCTTTACGTTTCCTGTCATCGCTTAATGTTGGGAATCTGGAAATTTCATTACAAAACAAGCCGCCATTTGCCTATCGTTTATTGTTTAATCAAATGGTCCAGTTAGTCTACTTACACTTTTTCATCATGATCTACAGTGATGTTCTTGTTTGTATATTTTGTATGTAGTTAGCGAACAATTCAACTTGTGTTAACAAGAATCACTGTAAGCTATTCGTTCTATTATCGAGTTAGAATAATCTGTATTTTATTATCAGTACACAGTATTCAATTATTCTAGCTTGACGATTATCGTGTTCCTCCAAACAAAATTTTGCTAAATCAACTGTTTTCATCATTTGATGATTTTAAAAATTTTTGTTTTATAAACTTATTGGTGTTAGTATCTACCCGTAGAATGTTTTCGGCATTTAAACTACTGTCTCCCGCAGGTTTCTTATTTATTTTAAGGCTGAACAATTATGATCTGTTAGTGATACAAATAATGTTTCTGAAAGCTCGTTTATTCCTAAGATTTTTTAAAGATCTAAATAACTCATTTACTTCTAATAATTTCCAGTACTTTATTGCTTGTATATAGGTGGATACAGAGGAACAGTCTGCTGCCTTAGGTTTACCTTGTGGTAAATATATCGTGAAAGAACCGTTACGTGAAGAATACCTGCCTAGGCGTTTCCGATCAATATTGGCAGCTCAAAGAGCAAATGCAGCAGCAGCGGCCGCATCTGATTCTGATAAGGGTAGTGTCGGACATCAGAAACGTGCAGTGGTTGCCATGGAAACAGCTGAAGATGACGAGGTGGATGCAACTTTACGCAGTGACATTGCCTCTACAGAAGACTCAGTTCAGCACTTTGGCGACGCTGCTGTTTCAAATCAAACTGATAATAATTCTCAAAATATTGTGTCGTTAGGCGAGGAGTTAGTAAGTAAAATTGATATGCAGCACTTTTTTCAAGTACTGTACTTTCTATGCACTCACGTTACAGATTTGAGCTGCCCTTTAGTGACAGAGGTTCGTTCAGATAGATGAAACCTTCAGATTTCATAGAAAATACCTCATCTAGACAAATCTTAGTTACGTTTGCGCATGATATGTCGCAACATTTTTTAGTGTTTAACGATAGCCTGTGAATTAAGCATTCAATTTTGGTTCTGGTTTCTAATAAAGCTCAATTTACATTATATTCCTCATCTGACTAGTATCGCTGACAGCCACATAAAAACTGTGGCTCACTTCATGGATGCGAACATGTGCTTCGGTACTGAGTTTTGTTAATTAGTTTAATGTTCTGTTAACCTGTCATATTTTTAATTGAAAGTTGTGGTTATCTCTCCAGTACACCAAACGACAGTCAAAACTGTATGTATCAAGTCAATAAATACTTAGTACATTTTGCTGTTTATATATTGGTTATGATATTTAATTTCTATGGCTTAAAAAGAAACTTTCGGGAATGTTTTATTTAATATGATTTTCACAATACCTAAGAATGAAACAAGTGATTTCAGATGCCTCTTTATAAATGTATGTATGCTTTTAGAATTTCATCTGTTTGATGTAGCATATTCTTAAAGATAATGTCCAGTCTCGCTAAAAAGCTTTCTATTATAGTGGATTTATAAAGTTTATGCGTAGCGTTTGTAGTAGTACTGATTTTTTAAGGGAATATGTAGTTTTCTCCAACCTGCAGCGAAAATTCAGTTCTTCTCATTGACTTTGCGTACAGTTTTACTAGCGTGTATATCCATATTATGGTTTTCTGTTCAACCTCTTTACGAATCACTATTGGATTCTAGATTATAATCATAAGTGTGATTAAGGACTGTGTTTTGATAATTACCAACGATAGAATCGTTTAATGAACTGTAGATAGAACGCAGTTTTATTGTAATTCAACTTAAGACTTAGTCTTGAATTCGTGGGTGGTTTTAGCTTTCCTTGTTTTACTTATTCAAATCACTTGAGTTTTGGTAAGCTAGAGTACTGGAAGTGCGCTGCAATAAATAAAGCGAGAATATTTGGAGAAAATTAAGGATGGAGGGAGGTATTATGTGAGACAAATCTGTCATTCCTCCATAGCCTTGTTTCAGATGGTACAGACAAAATAATTTTCATCTAATTCTTCTAGTCAATTATTCTGGTTTTACTCCACTTATATTAACCTTGAACAAGATTCTTTTTTTGGAGTGTATATAGCACTGAGAGCTTGGAGTGTTGCTAAATATCTCAGAAAGAAGGTACCAACCTATGTTTCAAAAAATATCAATAAAAGTGCTTTCAATCGCCTGTCCATTGAACAATTTTACTTTTTTGTTTCCTCTATAGCTTCTCCTTCCCGAGGGTGGCTTGGGTTGTCCAGTACCTGATGAATGGCTTACCAGCGGTGCTTTTCTAACAGTCCTGACAGAGAATGGTCAAACTAGTGATTTGGTTATGGAAGCCGCCACTGGTCGTCTATTTCATCGCCCCACAGGTCATCTTGTCAGTCTAGCTGATTCTCAGCAAACAAATCAGTCAGAAGTCGATGATTTTCAGGGTGAAAGTTATGAATACGAATCAACCAATGTTGAACAAAAAACTAAGGCAGTAACAGCTCCTAAACAGCCAAGTTCAGATAAACGCAAAGTTGCATCTTCAAAGTCAAAAGTACCGTCAAAATCTCAAACTAATGAAGAATCTGAAATTAGCAATGATGATATTTTATCCCAACAAGAACAAATACTCGCTCAACTGGCTGAAAATGGAGATGTGGTTGATCTGAATACCCTTTTTCCTGGTGTATCTGTTACAGAAGTATCACCTGGTGTATGTTTGGTTACTAAACCAAATGGAGACCGTTTTAATGTAAGTTATGCAAACTACATTAACTGTTGCCTCAATGTGTTACAGAAAATATTTATATTAGCTTCTGTAACACTTATTAGATGCATTACTTTTTAGCCTCCGTAGTCTTACACAAATGACTTCTAAATCTTTGTATATTTCAATCTTTGAATCTTACCTTTTATCCTAATATCTTCCTGATATTTTAAGTTTTCTAGTCTTAAAGATACTGTCATTTTAATATACGACAGAGGTACATTGGTTTGACTTTCTACTTTGTTCAATATCCCATAGCTAGTTTACAAAGAAGATAAGCCTACATAAGACTGATTTGTAACTACTATAAGTCATTTGATAAAAAGAGAATATGAAATAAACTTGTGTAAGTGGCCAAACTAGGAATAGAAATTGAATAGCAAAATATTCATTGTATGTGATTTAGGATTTAGTAAATTTCCATCGCTCATCAGTTTAATCTCCTGTGTTGGTTCCTCACACATCTTCACATTTCAATAGACGCCTATATTTCGTTTACTTAACAGTCAATGACTGTGTTGGTATCGTATTCTGGTGTTATAACATGAGAATGTTATTCACATTCTTTAGTCATTGCTATGGATTCAGATGAAATATTATGTTGATGGGTTGAGTTATCACAAATAGCCAAGTACGTATCGCTTATTTTCTACACCTTATTAGCATTTGATAAAATAAAATGAAGATTATCTGATAATCTTCGTCTTCTTATTACTCTATCCAAAATTGTCAAACGGATTAGTTGCTTCAAATAATCAAGTGGACTGTTGAGATTTGTATTTCGTTTGTATCCAATTTTATCTGGAGTAACAGTAAGTAGTCAACTAATAACGTCGTTAACACGCATGGGTTCGTTTAAACCTTTTGTAACTTTTAAAAGTTAACGTATGTCCAATTTTTTCTTTAAAGATGTGACTGTAAGTTAGATTGAATTTTACTTTTAATACTTTCCAATAATCGACTTATCGCTTAAATTATTGATCTCTACACTTATTTCCAAACATATCCTGTGCCTAATGTCATTCCTGCATCATCTTCAAAAGTAAAAAATGTATATAATGTCAATCAAGTATAAGAACCGAACCTCAGTCACCGCACTAGTTGGGACACCGTCCCTGTTTTTTCTATTGGTCAGACTTTACATGTTATAAGTACAAAAAAATTTGGTTGATTTTAATTTGTGTTTAATTTTAACACTATTCAGGTTGAACATGGTGGCGAAGGAATAACTTTGGAAACACTACAAGCTATCTTGCAGATGGATGCATAGTTGGTTTTTGCGGCGTTGAAAAACTTAATCTCTTGTAAATAGACAATCAGTCTGTTTTTCGATTCATTGAAATCCTATACTCACTCATAAATTTCAATGTTAACCTATTCATTTCTCATGAATATTTATTATGTATACTTAGATTCATGTGTATTTAAACTAATATCCCATTTTCCACATGTACAAAAGATTGCTCACTTCTTGCTGTTTGTAAGGGTTTCTCCATTGATATATATGAGGTAATCTGCTCTTTATTATATATACATTATATCCTGAGTTCATTTATGTGTGTATTTGTACTATTATCTGTACTATTTCCAATAAACTATGTTAGTTACTATTTTGTCGGGATTATTGGGCTATATACCATTTTCACGCTATTGATCGATATCGACTCGTTTCTCAGTCGAAATTTTAAAGTGTGTCTTGGTGAAATTATGATAAATATGGAGCGACTAAAGAGTTGTCGCTAGTTGTAGGAACACTTCATCTTTGGGCTGAAATTTACCGAATAATTATTTCACTGGTTTTTCCCTCTTTTTCTTTAAGATGTTGGATTAATTTGTAGAATTCTGGATTGTGAGTTTGATTCAGAAGATTGTGATTGATCAGCACATATGGTTCAAGAGTGTGTATAAGCCCCCTAAATGCCCTGGTACGCCTGAGAGTTAGCTCTCTCCAAATGCTCGCACATGACCACGTGTATACAACCACTGTCAGGAAGTCCTACTCACTACCTCGCAGAGTTACTGTTTACAAAATTGAGACGATGGAAAGTGGATGTCCGTTGCTTTACCCGAGTTGGTGAACACTGAGGACTAGCCTAGGAGAGTTTTAAAACCCTGGTTCCGAACAAATGATGAACATGGACTCTAAGATCGTGGGCAGACAAATGGCGTATGAACCTATCGCTGGTCATTGGCTATTCATGGGACTGCATCTTCTTATGTTGCTCCACTGCCTTGTGGAATACAACTTTAGCTTGAAGTCTCCGAGTGTGGCCTTAGTGTGTATATGACTGCTCGCCACTAAGCATAGGTCTCACCCGTTTCGGCATCACTACTGCAAGCAGTAGTGTTGCATACTAACATTGATTGATCTAATAATCTACCCAATCAGAACTCAATATAAAACACTTATTACCTGTGTTACCGTGCATGTTCTTACTTACATCAAATGTAATATCACAAGAGGAAAAATCTTTTCAGCTTTCTAGTTAGTTACAAATCAAGTGTCTCAAAGAATAAACCAAAAGTTAGTGAGCTAGCTGGTTCGTCAGGGGAAGGGTAGTGTGAGTATTCTGTGAACCAGTTATATGTTCTCATAAGTGATACTGTTTGTCCAGGCAGTGGGCTTTAATCATCTACGTTCATGTACTCATTAATTTGTAATGGCATTTATTTGCTCATTAGTTTAATTTCAGTGGCCGTTATGGTAATATACACCACAGAGCTGTTATTGGAACTAACTCCGTAGGACCATATGACTCGTTTGTGGTATATGTTGCGTAACGATTACTGCTATGTCGTCCTGTAATCATGGTTATCGGTTACATTAAGGGTTTGAAAGACATCCATATAGTTTGTTTGATATGCAGGTATTATCCCTTATATTGGTGTAAAGAAACTAGTGTGGGAGCATAACTTGGCTCCTACTCAAGTAAAAGAGTGTATACAAGTTCTATCTTGTATTCTAACTGCATAACAGAATCGCTTTACTTACAAATAGTTCAGGTTTCATGATTCAACAGAATACTCGTTGATTCTAACTCTGTTTCGGCACCTCACAAGACAGCAGATGACAGTTGGAGTGATATGGAATTGACATCAAATCCCCTGAAGGATATTTACACGAGCATATAAATACTATCAGTATACGCATATCAGGAGACAATTTCTTTAGTTGTGCAACCTGATGATAATAAAATAACTGTATTGTATGATATGAGACTTGTCGAGATGATCGCAAATGATACTTGCATTAAAGCAGTGTTAGTAGTAGGGAATCCGTATAAATGCTGTATAGCTGATCATTGTAATGCAATCTATGTTACTCTGTGAAACGTTCTCCTCACCATATAAGATACGAGAAACAGCGGGTGATAACAAATAAAACTGATTTAAACAGGACTAACGAAAATGTGTTAGTGGTATTGTTGAATGAATCTTTCGCGAGTCAAGCCTATGGCTTCTATATCGCAGCCTCATTTGCAATCGGTGTACTGTTATTACCCAAAGTTAAAATCCAATGAGGTTGTGCAATGTCGACGGTCTAGTGCTGTTTCACCACATGATTGTTGAAGCTGGATTTTCACTCGAACGGTTTATGCCGGGCAAGATGTGGACCATGACTGAGTTGTCCGGCCATGTAGACTTGATTACGCTATACCATGTCTTCATTTTTATACAAAATAAAATATGCTGTCAACAAGACTGTTTACTTTTCAGAAATCGTACAAAGCTGTGTTTCGAATCTTGAAATAAGACGACTGCGACGTAAATTCGTATAGTTTAAGCTGTCACATAGTGAGAAACCGGCTGCATTACATTATGCCTAATCGTTTAGTAACAAGTAAAATTTGATAATATCAAAACTAGTTTTAGATACCACTCACAGTCAATATGCGAACTTCTGATATCACATGTGATTTCAATATATAACTTCGATCAATTCGCGATATTGTAAATACATATTTCCGTTTTGATTTCAGGTGACAGTTTGACATTTGACCATTGCTTATTCTGGTAACTTGCAAAGCATGCATTATTCTGTCTATCATTCTTCATTTGAGGAACCAAGAAAAGCATACAGAAAAATTCGGAAGAAGTTTATGCACACAGCAGTTATGAAACACAAAGGAAGAAGGAAATACCAATAACCAATTCAAATAAATCGCAACAATCCTACCAAAAAATACAAACTGAGGAAACCCTCTCTAGAAATATACAACAAACTTGATCATCTTAGTTGATTGAAATTCCTTCGTAGGATTGATGTCAGTGTGGGAATGTTAACTCCATTGTGCTTTGAATATCGATAATGTTACGCACAAAGTGTTCGTACGACCAGTTAAATGTCACTGAGTCGTAGGCCAATCATCCGGCAGTTGTGTCACTGAATATCGAACGGTTCATCGATCTCCGTCAAGATCAAGTACAACGAACCCGCATCACTTAATTGCACCCCATGGAATTGTCAATGCAGTGGTGGTTGCAACTTCTTCCTTGTACCTACGTTTACTAATACATTTCTAAAATAACGTCCTTTGTGTCATACGGTCCTCAAAGCAGCCATAGTACCTTGATAAGACGAGAAGGTAATCCACGTACAGTATTGACTGGGAGGTGTGACTTCGATGTTAGACGGTTCGTCACACTATTCCTGTCTAACTGGAGTAGGCTCCAAATGATTCGTTTTAGATCATCTACGGTGGTGATCTACATGTCTCGAGAAAAACGAAGAGTTTAGTTCTAAAAATGTAATGAATATTATCAGATTCTTTTGTCATTGTGATACGCTAGTGATGGGTGTGAAAAGTAGTGTTCCAATCGGCTTACTTCACTAATTGTTTTATTCTTCATCACCTGGTGTGTTGGAGTGTAGTAAGGCGAAATTCAACATATATGTTTCTTTTCACAAAAAGTAAAAGTAAGTATCTGTTGAGTAAATTAAACTTTGGAAACGCACCTGATCGATCAATCATCTTAAATTATTCACATTCAAGTGACCAGCGTGACATGTTCATTCGTGCTTCTACATGACCCAGACAAAATGAAAACAGTTATCAATACTGTTTCGACAGTACTTTTGTAATGTGTTTTTATGATATCAATCTTAAACAGTTTATTATAAGTTTTGGCAAATTTGTTCCGTAGTGAATGCACGGTAAGCAATATGAACCTGGTATATTTTTCGATCTTACTTAGACAACAGTAATCGCTGTACAATTAGATGACAGTTTGAAGTATAAATGTTCATAAACCTTCGGAAAGGTGGATGACTCGCAAGTCATTCATGTAATGGGATTCGTTGATCGCAACAGCTGACCCTTTCATAATAAAGCGGAGTGTATTTAGTAATTCGAACCATCATTTTGTGGAGATTTAGTTAGGATAACTGTGAAGAGAAATAAATGACACAGATTCTACAATAATTCTTCGCTAATTGTTCAGGTTGATCACTAAGATGTGGTAATTAAGTAAGTGTGTGATGAATTCAACTAAATAAATACTTGAAAGTACTCGGTACAAGCTTGTGAACTTTGGTATACTTGAGTCAAAAAGAACAGGCACTTACCTTCCACAGCTTGGAAGGTCTGAGACTAGCTTGATAACTAAACATCTCCATCAGAATTTTTTTTGTTTTTGGACAATACTGATTTCCTTTTTTATGCATCGATTCCTAATCTTTGTGTATGGAGATTATGAACAAAGTGAATGTTCCCATCTCTCTCCTTTAATGATTATAAGAAAAATGCCTTATTGTTCTTTTGGTTTTCAGTTTCAGTTTGGAAAGGACAGGAGGCTTGATGGCCTGTGTTAGTCCTGGCAATGATGGTCTTTCAGCTGATCCAACTTTCTTTTGAAGGAGTCGACGGATGGAGCCTCAACCACGTGCTGAGCTAATGAATTCCACTCGTTGATTATTCGATGTGAAAGTCGGTAGTCAGCTGACAAGTAATTCGTTCTGGGCTTGTGAACTTTTTTGGAGTGTCCTCGTAGATTTTCTGTTTCGGAACACAAGAAAAATGAGGGCATATCAGGTGCAAATTTGTCATTAAGCAATTTGAAAACTGTAATCAAGTCGCCTCTGATTCTTCTATATGACAGCGGGAATAGGTTTAGCTTGGTCAGTCTAGTACCATACGGGAGCTTCGCTATTCCGGGAATCAGCCTAGTTGCTGTTCTCTGAACTTTGACCAAGAGTTCACTGACTTTTTTAGGCAGGGGCTAGCTACTTGTATGCAGTACTCAAGTTTAGGGCGTACGAACACTGTATACAAAGTCAGAAACGTTTTAGCTTCAAGATGCCTAAAAGCCCTGCGTATGGACCATAAAGTTCTAAAACCTTTGGTGGCTATTGCACGGCAGTGTGCAGTAGTCTTTAAGTCTTGACTAACGATGACGCCTAAGTAATTGTGCGCCTGGACAATAGGTAACTCACTGTTATTCATCGTGTATGTATCTGTACCCTGGTGGCCAGTATGCATCACAATGCACTTGGAAGTGTTTATCGGCAATTGCCAGGTTTGGGACCATTCAGATAATCTCTCCAGGTCATTTTGGAGTTCTAGGTTATCGTCCTTGCTTTGTATCGCTCTCCATATCTTGACATCATCAGCATAGAGTAAGACCGATGGCGATAGTAGATGAGGGAGTTCATTTACGTACAGGAGGAATAACACTGGCCTCGAAACTATACCCTGGGGGACTCCACTTAGCACAGTTTCCCAGCTAGACAACTTGAAGTTCACCCTTACTCTTTGTTGACGCCCAACTAGGAAGTCTTTTATCCACATCAATAGATTGCCTCCAATCCCGACATTCCTTAGCTAATATAACAGCCGGTTATGCGGAACTTTGTCGAAGGCTTTGCTGAAATCGATGTAAGCTACGTCTACAGGTAACTTTTCGTCCTTAAGAGCGCATCAGCTTTCACGAGCGACTTATAAGTTTGTGAGGCAAAAGTAACCTGTTCTAAAATCATGCTGTTTTTCGGAGAGGATCCGGCATTTATCGAGATACTTTAACAGTTCCTTCCGAATAATCTTTTCTGAGATTTTAACAACAAACTAGTTAGGCTAAGTGGTCGGTAATTCTCAGGCTTATGTTTTGAACCTGTTTTGAAGACTGGACTTACTATGGCGTTCTTCCAGTCTTTTGGTAGACGACTCTGGGTTACGGATAGATTAAAACATACACTTAAAGGGTTTGCAACAAAGTTAGCTAATTCCTTTAGTAAGCTAGGATGCAGTTCATCGGGTCCAGTGGATTTACCAATACCAGCTTAACTCGCAGACCAAGGACATCGAGTTCTTTAATGGTCACGCTGTCCAGTGCTTGTGTGGTGGATTTTCATGGACTGGTGAGAAATAGTGTTTCTATGGTGTATAAATTGCTAAAGTATTTAGAGAATATTCGAGCTTTGCCAAAGTCGTCCACCACTAGTGATGTGGCAGTACTGTCTCCCCATAGTGAAGTAACATTTCTTCTTCTTTTTGTCCTTTGGTTAATATACTAGTACAAGCGTTTAGGGCATTCTATGGATTCCCCAACGATTTTCTCTGCGTACAGCTTTCTGGCCTTACGGAGGGTCGAGGCACAGGTATTTCGAGCCTTTTGATACTGAGATTTTGCCTCATCAGTCCCCAGTAACCTAAATCTATAGCACATTTTCCTTCTTTTACAGAGAAGGATTCGAACCTCCCTACTGAAACACGGCGGTGAGTTTCTCGGTCACTTAGGTGTAGTCCAAGGGATGTGGGGGCGGTAAATTTTAAGTATAAATTTCGGAATACGTCCCAAGCCGTTTCGATTGATGACTCTGGGTCTGTTTTCCAATCTGCTGACGATGCTGATTTCATGATGTCTGTTATGTTTGCTTTCCAGACGTTATGTCTGGATTGAGCTGAGGCGTGCTCGTGATCGACGGTTATATGGAAGTCATAGGTTACAACTGCATGATCACTTTTGCCTAGGGGTGGCATGTAATTCAGGTTTGCAACGTCATCCTCATAACGAGTCAGTATGAGATCTAGTTAGGATGATGCAGAACCCGGGTCGTACCTAGTTGCACCCTTCACGTGTTGCATTAGGGCACATGTGATTACCGCATCAACCAGTTCCTGTACGAAGGAATTTGCTGACGATTCAGTCCGCACTGCATGTCGTTGTCAACGGGATATCGACATCCTGGGCAGTGGCAAATGCTTTGTTACACCTTCCAGTCATTTTAGGATGAGAAAGTCATTTTTTACTAAAAGTAGAAAAGACTATAAATAGTTAGGACCAAAGTACTAACAGATACAATGTAAAAAACAAGGTACTCTGGAGTACCGACGATAAAACTATTTGGGATACCAAAAATGATACTCCAGTCAAATTTTTTAACTGAAAGAAATTCAATCGAAGTATAAACAGTAGTCTTGATACTTTAATAACGATTAAAGCAATAGAATTTACTCAACGAGGAACCAATGTCTTTTTTTAAATAGCGCGCTTGTTAGGTTTTCTTTTTAAAGTTTATAAATTCAAAATCTTTTGTGCAGTCTCAGATTGACTGTGTCTATTTTGATGATGTTTATTAGCTATAAAGCATCTTGCCAAATATTGGCAAATAGCCTAGTAACCAAGGTCAAAGAAGGCGGTCAAGCTCATTTGACACGTCTGTGGCGGGATTAAGATGCCGGAATTGAGTAGAGAAGACAAAATAGCCGCTGCGCGGAAGAAGGTGTGTTTACTAAAATACGGCTATACTGTTAGAGAAAACTTTTATTTTGTTGGTTCCGAAATTTCTGTTTTTCTACTCAAAAATTTAATAGGAGAACATTTTCGATCGGTCTGAGATGTCAGATCATATATTCCTATTTAAGTCGCACTTATCCTGTGGTATGTCGGAGTGCAGGGATTTTCGATACTCGGTGTCCGTTTTCATTGTTCGGGCAGAGGTCGCTAGTGTATTACCAAGTCATCGAAGGAATATCTGCGTACTGTTTTGTCAAAAAATGAATATTGTCATTATAAATCCGCTAAAATGACTTGTCCTGTAGTTTTTTCGTGGTCTGCGGTGTTAGTTCACATAAAACGTCTATTTAGGTGGTGGTTAGGATTAGATAATGCATAGAAGGTACCGACCCAGACAACCAATAAAGGCGAACAAAGAGGAAATAAAGCGGACGAAAGCTAAATAAAGGGGAAATGTCGCTTTTTCGCCTGCACGTCGGTTATTTAGGGGAAAAGTCAATTTTTCCCCCTTACGTCGTATATTTGGGGGAAATTTGTAAACAATTTTTCGTAGCGTTCTTCGAATACAAATCGATTTGTATGAAGAATGGTTTATTCTCTTTGTCATTATCTCAGCATTAGGTGTTTATGGCCACGTCTGCTGGTTTATTAGCTCAATAGTAATTTGCCTTTAAAACCGTTATGTACTCAGTGATTCTGCCTTACGTGAGATTCGCCGGTCCATGTTGAAATACTAATAACTCATACATATTTCCCAATTACGAAGGACGTTCCACAATATGACCCGCTGTCCTACAATGCACTTAACCTTCTATGTGGTGATTTTACAAACTGATACCGGAAATTAAGTCTTTAACTTTCATATCCCGACACTTTTGTTCAAAAGGTCGTAATAAATTGCTATTGTGTCACTAAGCCCTACTATCATTTAAACGGAATTAAATTAGCTTTGTACTGATAAAGCCATGTGGTGTTTTTTGTTTACTTTCTTAAAACAAGTGTAGCTTAGATACTCAGATGTTTCTCACTCCGATATATGACATTTTAAGTTTCAATCTTAACGTAGACAGGAAGTGTAGATTCTGTTAATTGGGCGTAACGGGTATTTTCGGTTTATTCCATATCCGATATAAGACTTATACAACGTAAATATGCCAATATGGGTGTCATGGGATTGATACATTGTGTTTAGGTTTCTGGAGAATCATTGTCAAGCTCCTGAATGCCCTGGTACTCCTCAGAGTGGGGAGAGTCAGCTCCCCCTCTCTGAATGCTCTCACATGGCCACGTGTATACAACCGCTGTCCGGTTCTTTAACCGGGTTGGTGATCACGGAGGATCCACCTGGGAGAGTTGGAAAACACTGGTTCCGAACTAATGGTGTACGTGGGCTACAGTATCCTGAAGGACTAAATGGCATGAGAACATATTGTTGGTGACTGGCTATCCATGAGACTGCATCTCTTTATGTTGCTCCACTGTTTTGTGGATTAGAACTTTAGGTCGAAGGCTCCGAATGTTTCCCCCTAATAAAACCACCTGATTTGATTGGGGCACCTGTGCAGTATCACATCCTCAGACAAATGAAGTGACTTATGTGCCTCATATGTATTCAGTGCCGCTTTATACCAATATTTGTGTTTTAGAAAAACGTTATTAATTCTGAACCTCGAACTATTACAATTTCCAATTCACATTACCTTCTCACTTTTACATGGTAAAAGAATTACACATAAACTGATATTATGAAGTGATTTTTTGCACTGCATCATATTTTTTCTTATAAATCCTTTTGATAGCTAAGAGAATTCCAAGCTGCTAAGGCTAAAAGACAGTTAGATGAATCATACGTCAACCAAACTCATGGCTTCAACGTTTCAGGGACTGGGGACTATCAAGTAAGTAATGTGAAATTTTTTTTATTCAGACCATGATTTGTTGCTAAAGATCATTTACTGAAAAGTTTTGGATTTGAGTTGCATGTATTTTAAGGCTTATTGATAAAAACATATCTTCGGCCTCAATGTATTTCATCATCCTGTATAATTGTATACCCATCCATTCACTTGTGCAGTTGATCTTTTCATGTTTAATCCCCATTTACAGATGTGTAGCTAGACTTGTTATCATCCGTAGACTAATGATTAAAATTGGTTTTACAATGGGTAAACTTCGTCGAAATTGGACAAGGCTCCAAACCTTTGGTCTCAAGTTTAAAATTTTGTTGACAAATAGCTAAAGCGACTTGTTTAACAATATCAACTTTGTGTATAGTTTTCAACTAACTGATGCTATTTTACACCTGACCCTGTGTCTCGTTTTCATTTAGTTTGTCGTCATATAGCGGTGATGAATTGGAGAAAACTTTAAAGCCTAGAAATGATTACTATGTTAAATGTTTAGTAACTTTTAGCTTTTGTACAATGTCACTAAGTTCAGTAAAAGTTGCAGGCCACACGTAATACTCTGGGAGCAATATTTTGTACATCTAAGGTCATTTATTATACTTTATGTCTTAAATATCTTGTTATTAATACATTATTTATCCTAAATACTACCTTTGATTCGTTTGGTTTTTCTTTTTCAGACCAACTTTTTATCACAACGCGAAGATAATCACTTCATGTAAGTATATTTCAGTATTGATATGTTTAGGTGCATAACTTTCCAAAATTGGTCATATTAACATGTACGTCGTTCTTTACTAAACATTTGTATCCAGTCCAAAAACTATATTATCTAAAATACGTAATTCACCCTTTTAACTCAGTGTCTAGCATCAATCTATGTAAAACAAACTGATTAAATTTTCAAAATTTTATCCCATCTAAAGTAGTAAGACCTTATGTGAAAATGAGTAAATGGAAAAAATATCTTCATACAAAGGTAGGGAAAGTATGATTAGTATTGTATGAATTTCTCCCTATATGTACTGGTATGTGTGACATGCATAAATCCCACAACCTATTCTTACTACCACATATACTCATTGCGGATTGATCATATTTTGTTTAATTCGAATAATTAGCGATTAACTATTTCACTGTGTGTATGGATTTGGTTTTATTAGATTACCCGTTGATAATTGTCAGGCGATTCAACTTGAGCAGAAAGAACAATATGAACACGGATTTAATTTATCACATGTAAACGTCAGTGAAAATTGTGCGAATACTTCAATCTATCAACCACAACCTCCATCGAGTGTGACAGTACCACAGAATAATGATAATGCAGTTGTATCACTTACTGACTATTTTAGTAATTCTACTCCCTATTCTTATCCTCCATCACTTCAGCCTCTGCCTAATAATAATAATGATAATCAATCCGTTCCTTATAGTGAAAATGGTCAAGGTGTTGTTTTACATGACTTGACAATTCATTCGAATCTCACTTATAAAGATCAGTTTGTTGCTTCGTCTCCTACCTCATTGTCATCTGCATTTGAAGTACCTAGTGGAATTATAAATCAAAGCGTTTCAATGACTGACAATACTGAGTACCTCAGTTATTGTATGTATAATGCTAATAATAATAATGATAGTAATAATAATAATATGCCTGCTAATATGGAACTTGGCAATCAGCAGAGCAAACTGGATCCTAACGATCTCACTGTTTTTCCAACATCGTATTATCATCCTTCTTCGGCGTCTGTAAATAATGTAAATAATTATAATCAAGCAAATAATACACTTGGACAGTCATCTTATCCACAATCTGGTGTTGAGGAAGAGGAGGAAGTGATAAACAATATGTAAGTTGTATATGTTTTTCGTTTTTCCTCTCTGGTTTTATATTTCCTGGTACTGTTGGTTTAATATTCCATTTAGCAGGTTCAGATTAATTTGCCTGGCTTTGAACCACACTGTGATTGTATGGAGCCTCTAAGTTACTGTGCCACATTTTCAGGCTAGTTGCGTCTTATTGGTCAACAATTTTGTTTTTCTTGCTTTAGACAATCGGACTTAGCGACTACAACAGTTGATTTTGAATCACTTGGCTGCAGTTCGAACGCTGGCCGATCTGCTTAGCTTTGAGCACTCGGGTTGTATCAATGTCACCACTTACGGAAAGAATGTAACACAAAGCCAACTATACCTGATTTGCCTAATAAATGCGTGAATTACGGTTTTGTAAACGTTTTAAATAAAGAAATTTGAGGTACATCAAAATTATCAATCACAAATAATTCACATCTGTTAGTATTAGACTTATCTTTTCTCCATTTTAGTCAATTGAAACAGTCGTGAAATCCTCAAAAATCGTCCGCCCCCAAATGCCTTGGTACGGCCGAGAGTGGGGAGAGTCCGCTCTTCCTCCAAATGCTCTCACATGGCCACGCGAATATATAGCCTCTGCCAGGGAAGTCCTACTCACTGCCTTCTCGTGGCGGGGGTGTTGTTTACGAAAGTGAGAGGACGAAGAGCAAATGTCCGGCACTTTAACCGGGTTGGTGGACATGGAGGGTCCACCTAGGGGAGTTGGAAAATCCTGATTCCAAACCAATGGTGCACATGGGCTCCAGGATCCTGATGGAACGAATGGCGTATGAACCTATTGTTGGTCACCGGCTACCATGGGACTGCATCTCCTCACGATGCTCCATTGCCTTGTGGATCAGATCTTTAGGTCAAAGGCTCCGAGTGTGGCCCCCTAAGAAAACCACCTGCTTCAATCTGGGCACCTGGTCAGTATCTCAGTCCTCACACAAATCGAATGAGATTTGTGAGGCGCATATTTATCTGGTGCTTCCTTGTACCAATATTTGTGTTTAAATAAAATAAAATAAAAAACAAAAATCGTCCTCCTCAACCATTGTTCTGCATTTTTCACTTCCATATCGCGTCAATCCCATCCCTGCCCAACGGGTTTGGATTGTAGAAGCAAAGAGTAATTATGGGATGCTAAGTGTAAGTACTAGGAATACTTATCTAGGGCAGTGGTATTATGCACCAGCAACTGGTGGGGAATCATTTTTGAGTTTCCAGCTATGTATTCGCCTATTTATTCAGCAGATCTTATTACTTACTTACTTACTTACTTACTTACTTACGCCTGTTACCCCTCGTCCAGGAGCATAGGCCGCTCACCAGCATTCCCCATCCAGCTCTGTCCTGAGCCTTCCTTTCCAGTTCTTTCCAGTTGCTATTCACCCTTTTCATATCGGCTACTATTTCCCGGCGTAGTGTGTTCTTTGGCCTTCCTCTTTTCCGCTTCCCTTCCGGATTCCAAGTTAGAGATTGAGTCGTGATGCACATTGGTGATTTCCTTAATGTATGTCCTATGCACTTCCAACGTCTTTTCCTAATTTCCTCTTCAGCTGGAAGCTGGTTTGTCCTCTCCCATAACATGCTGTTGCTGATAGTATCCGGTCAATGAATGTTTATTATTTTGCGTAGACAACTGTTTATAAATACTTGTACTTTCCTGATGATGGTCGTAGTAGTTCTCCACGTTTCAGCTCCATACAGTAGGACTGTCTTCACGTTCGTATTAAAGATTCTGACCTTGAAATTGGTCGAGAGTTGTTTTTGAGTTCCATATGTTCTTCAACTGTAGAAATGCTGCCCTTGCTTTGCCAATCCTCGCCTTTACATCTGCATTTGATCCTCCTTGTTTATCAACGATGCTACCCAGGTACTTGAATGTTTCCACCTCTTCCAGGGTTTCGCCATCAAGTGTGATTGAGTTGGTGTTCTCCATGTTGCATTTGAGAATCTTGCTTTTTCCTTTGTGAATGTGGAGGCCTATCGATGCGGAGGCTGCTGCTACATTTGCTGTCTTCATCTGCATTTGTTCGTGTGTATGAGAGAGCAGGGCTAGGTCATCTGCGAAGTCTAAATCATCTAATTGATTCTGAGAAGTCCATTGTATTCCGTATTTCCCTTCAGGTGTCGAATTCTTCATAATCCAGTCAATCACTAGAAGGAAGAGGAATGGGGAGAGTAGACAGCCTTGTCTGACTCCGGTCCTTACTGGAAATGCATCTGTCAGCTGTCCTCCATGCACGACTTTGCAATATGGTCTGTCTTATGAATGCCCTATGATGTTGACTATTTTATCGGTTACTCCACAGCATCGGGGAAAGTTCCATAAGGTCCTCCTATGCACACTGTCAAATACTTTCTCATGGTCAAGGAAGTTGATGTGCACGACATATCTTTACGGAATCCAGCCTGTTGATCCCTAAGTTCGGCGTCTACTGCGTTATTCATCCGATTCAGCAGCACTCTGTTGAAAACGTTTCCTGGTACTGATAACAAACTGATGCCTCTGCAGTTCTCACATTGGCTCAGATCTCCTTTCTATGGTATCTTGATGAGATATCCTTCTTTCCAGTCCGTTGGCACTTGTTTCTCTTCCCAAATCTTCTTGAATAGAAGGTGAAGCATATTTGCAGTTATTTCAATGTCTGACTTCAGTGCTTCTGCTGGTATATTGTCAGGTCCTGCCGCCTTCCCACTTTTGATTTGTCTGATGGCCATCTTGACTTCTTCGATCGTTGGTGGAGTGACATCTATTGGAAGGTCAGTGTGGGCTGGTTCGATGTTCGGTGGGTTCAATGGGGTTGGTCTATTCAGCAGTTCCTCGAAGTACTCTGCCCATCTTTTCTTCTGTTCTTGAATCTCAGTGATTGTCTTTCCTTCTTTGTCTTTGACTGGTCTCTCTGGTTTGCTATATCTCCCTGCCAATTTCTTCGTTGTATCATATAGTTGTTTCATATTCCCTTCTCTTGCAGCTTTTTCCGCCGACGTTGCTAGTTCTCCCATGTATTTTTGTTTGTCGGCTTTAATGCTTTTCTTCATTTCCTTGTTTGCTTCTGCGTAGTCTGCTTGTGCTTTGACTTTCTCTGCTCGTGTTCGGCTGTTGTTAACTGCTAGTTTCTTGTTCTTCCTTTCTCGAATTTTGTCCAGGGTTCTCATAGGGATCCATTCCTTGTGATGATGCTTCTTAGGACCAAGAACCTCCTGACACGTTGAAGTTAGTGCTTCTTTTATCCCTTTCCAGTTGTCCTCCAAAGTAGTTTCTTGTTCTTTCAGTAGATCCTGTAGAGCCTGGAACCTGTTGTTGAGAGTTATCTTGAATTCGTTGAGCTTGTCAGTATCTCGAAGGAAGGCTGTATTGAACCTTTGTAGTGCTGTTTGTCCAGTTGTCCAGTGTTTCTTTAGCTTCAGTCTCATCTTGGCCACAAATAGGTGGTGATCTGAAGCTATGTCAGCTCCTCTCCGGGTTCTCACATCTTCCATTGATCTTCGGAATTTTTTGTTGATACAGATGTGATCTATCTGGTTCTCTGTGGTGTGGTCCGGTGAGATCCATGTAGCTTTGTGTATGCGTTTGTGTGAGAATATTGTGCCGCCTATAACCAATTTGTTGAATGCACATAGGTTTGCAAGTCTCTCCCCATTTTCATTTCTCTCTCCTAATCCATGTCGTCCAATTACATCTTCATATCCTGTGTTGTCCACTCCAACTTTAGCATTTAGATCTCCCATCAGGATGGTGAGGTCCTTTCGTGAGCACTTTGCTATAATTGATTGCAGCCTTTCATAGAACTGATCTTTATCATCGTCGTTGCTATCATTGGTGGGTGCATAACATTGGATAACGTTCATTGTGATCCCTTGCTTCTTTGTTCTGAATGATGCTTTGATTATCCTGGGTCCATGAGATTCCTATCCCACAAGTGCATTTCGTGCTTCTTTGGACAGCATTAGAGCAACTCCCTGAGTGTGTGGAGCATTTCCCCCCTTGTGACCGGAGTACAGCAGCATCTCTCCTGTACCTAGCATTTGTTGTCCAGTTTGTGTCCAATGGGTTTCGCTGATTGCGAGCACTGCCAAGTTGTATCTCCTCATTTCCATTGCTATTTGACTGGTCTTTCTTGTCTCCCACATTGTTCGGACGTTCCATGTACCTATAAAGAGTGTTGCTCTGGTTGTTAGAAGGTGCATCGGTCTCATGACTTCTGAAGAATTTCGGCTTTCATCATGAGACGTCATAATTATTCCTTCAACTTGGAGGGCAGAGTTTAAATGGTTTAAATTCTTTTTTCTGGTTAGCGTTTTTTTAGCGAGTTAGTTTTTCTACGGGATGGGGTCGCTAACCCCATGCCCAACCCTCCTCCTTTACACGGGCTTGGGACCGGCAGTAACTCTAGAAGAGCTACAGGCTGAGTTAACAGATCTTATAGATATAAAGAAATTGCACCTCATTAAATATTTGTTGAATTTAGATTAATCACGAAAGTCATCTTGACTCAATGTAGTGACGTTTTAGATATAATGGGATCGTTTGTTTGTGTAATGATCTCCATACGTAACAACGTTAATAACTCAGTTTCTTTAGGTGTTTGACACATAGCATACATGGGTTTTTGTTTGTTAGGTTCAATCGACTGTTGTGTTATTTTAGAATAAGGGAATCCTTTAACTGTTGTTTACTGCCTAAACGAAAGACAGAACATGATGAAACAATTGCACACTATTTTTAATTTCCCAATAATTGATGGTTGTTGTTATTTGGTAACTTATAATTTATCAAAATGACTCCTAATCAAATATTAAGATCAAGAAACTATAGTTATTGATACGGGCGTTACGACAGTGTTAGATAAAATTTACTTAAACACAAATATTTTTACAAGGAGGCACCAAATATATATGCGCCACACAAATCACTAATCTTTCAGATTAAATGTAATTGGGTATTGTGTCGAATTGGGAAATCTTAATAAAACACATAAAATACCTACCTGAATAAATAATGGTCATCTTAAAATTTAATGTTAAGTATTCATTAGAATTTAACTGAATCAATAAAAGCTAATATGGTATTAGATAATGTATGTTGGTATTTGATGTGATCCATTTTCCATGTACATACTTTGATGAAGCTCAATATTTTGTATTTAAGGTTATACAAACTATAATGCTTAAAGCATATCTGATCATCCATTATTGTGCAATAACATTAAGAACCCGAGTATAGATCCGAGTTGGATACAAGAAGGTTTCTTGAATGGTGTTTGTTTCTATCAATTTCCAAGTGTTTGAAGCTTCCAGTTGTTGATATGAAAGACTAGATTAGTATGTTTTGGCATATGTAAAGTGTATATATGAAGCAGCACAAATCACCAGACCTAGATAACTTACCCCCACTCTTCAGCCTGCAATTACCAGGACATTGTCATAGTTATTGCCGGCCACCAGTTATTGTGTATTTTGATATCAGGTCTCTCTTCAATTTGTTGGACAAGATTGTTCTCTGGGATTGTCTGTTGAAGAAGGGTGTACCTGAGAAGTTTGTTGACATCTTGAAGGGCTTAGAAACAAACACCTCCATTGTTCTGTTCAAAGAGTGAGGTCAGTTGGGGTTGCCTAATCTTTCCATTTCTCTTCAATTTTGCCATCGATGACATCGTGGAGACAGCTTTGACTGAATCAGGTGATGGTGGTGTCAATTATTTACTTGGAGAAAATCTTTTTGGCTTTGAGTATGCAGGTGATTTTGTTTTATTTTACAATGATACTCGAAACAAGGAATCCACACTTAATCAGTTGGCGATCCATATTGGTAGGTATACCATGTGCTTTTCACCTTCCAAGTGTAAATTAATTTTGAAGAACTGTCAGGAGCTTGTGCCTGCAGTCACTTTTAATAGTGAGGATTTGGTAGTGGTTGTTTTAATGCTAATGGTGACGTGATTGATGAGATCAGTTGATTTATAGTGAAAGCCAGAATGTTTTATACAAGTCCGGGGCATCTTTAGCGTCCTCGACTCTTTGATTGGACCCCTAGAGATAGTGCAACACAGTGTCTTGAGATGTCATCAGACATGTCTCAGAATAAAACTCAATGGCGATCCTGTTGTAATTTTCTTTTACTTTCTTCACCTAATTAATAGAGAATTCTTTAAGGAGAGATGAATGGTGGCTAGCAGTGGAATCCAGGATATGGGTTTCGTTTTGTTTGGGACTCGTTGGCTGGATGTACGGTAATGGTTTAGAGTCCCTGAGTGAACACCAACTCTTATATGCAGGTGTATCCAGCTGACGAGTCGCGAATAGGATCGAAGGTGCCCCATAGATTTTAGTGTTAGTCACCATCCAACTTTGCACAAAATGCATGTTTTTCTTCAAAAAACTAACTTTTATACATTCATATCTAGTAAAAATATAATTGCCTTAACTCTCATATTAAAAAGAAATCTACACCTCTTTTGAAATGTGCATAAATTGTGAGACTAAATGGTTTTTGTTTTGTCTACATTCGTCTTAATGAAAGGCCTACAGCTGCTACTGAGAAACTTTTACAATTAACTCGTCAATTAGATGGTATATTAGAAGAATCAGACCGTTTAACTAGTTCACTGCATACCTCAGGTGCTACTAGCCCAATAATGAACGAATTTACTTCAAACCATGAATTAAAAAACACTAAGATGTCACCGTCTTCATCATCAAGTTTGCTAGAATCATATCATCATTCTGAATCCTGTCGACAATACTGTCAGCAAACTGGTGAATCACATGATCAATTGACAAAGGATTATTCACATTGTTCACCGAATTCTTTATTATCTAGTGAATCATCTCAAATGTCTATGTGTCAAAATCATTTAGTAAGAGAACTTGAAGTAAGTTACTGTTAATTTTGTAATATACTTAGTAAAGTAATTAGTTGTGTTTTCTGTCTGCAATTTGAGTTAGTCGTCTGTTTAGGTTGCATAGTTGTATTTATTGTTGATAGGAGATATTGAAAAGAAAATGGCGAGGGATTTTTCAACAGTTGTTTAGTGAGTCGTTTCATCAGTTGTGTGAAGAATTCTCGAAGGAGGAAAAGTGATTCTATGTATTCCACAGATAATTACCATCTGAGTTAAAGTTTATTTATTATCCCTGATCAATCTCAGATATGTGTTGTTTAGCCTGTAATTAACACACATTAAAGAATTAGTCTGCAATAAAGGTTCTGGTGGTCAAAATAATTATTCTTCATTTGAGTTTCTTGTATTTGTGACAATGTTTCATATCATCCTATGAACGTTGTTTTTTGCTTGGTTTCTAAAATGAAGTAGCAAGTGAACCAGGAACTCGGTTCCCTTTTGTTTATCCGTTCGCTTAATTTATTGGAAAGTCAAGTGATCGTCTGCATAATTTTCAACTCATTTTCATAGAACTTCACAACTATAATGCAGAACTCTGATACCTATATATGTCTATATATGTGGGTAATTTTTGATTATTTGATATAATTTGTTTGAATGTAATTGAAAAGAACCAAATGACACTGAGTCTTTTTTATTTTACGTAGGAAAGAAATGTTGAATTAGCTTCAATGTTAGAAAAACGCAATCGAGCATATGAACATCTAAAAGTTAAACTGGACTTAATGAAAGATCAATATGAACGTCGATTGACTGATTTAAGCAGTGAACGTACAAATTTACAAAATATTTCTCAACGAGACTTGGAGAAAACCAAAGAACAAGTTAGTGTTACTGTTCAGTTACTTTTTTCACTAACATTTTTGTATTTATAAGACATATGGGTTTGTATCAGAATGATTATTTGTTACAATCTAGCAGTTACTTAATGGCTAAACTAGTTAGTCAGCTTTTAGCCAACAGGTGAAAAGTACAAATCACCATTTTACTTCTTTCAATTTAAGCAACGGGTCAGTATCACACTAGGTCTCACAAAAATAATGTTACTCAAAGTTGGACGCCTAGATTTAAACTTATAAAATGTTGTATATGTAATGGGTTAGGGAGATGATGATGATTACTGTGGTTCTTGGATAATTGAAGGTTGAGTTCCAGAATGAGGTTGTTTATGTGAATATATATGAAACTGGAGTAAGTAAATTGGGGTAGTAACTTGCGACTTAGTGACCGAAAGTCATAAACCACAACCACTGGGTCAAGACTCCACTTCTTAAAGAAGAATCACGAGACCTCCCTCCTGATACGAGTTCAATAATGCTATCTCGTTGCTGAAACCGAAATAAGCAGTGTGTGTTTAGAACCTGTAGTCAAATGAATGATTAGTTGAAAACATTTTCCTCCAAGTATATATGAAGGGTGACATATTGTCTGTTGCTAAAACTTGCATTGTAACATAATTTTGTCGATTTGGTTCTTATGAGTAATCACCAGCTTATTAACCGATTAAATAAATGTATCGCGATAAATACACATAATTATTATAAGTTGCGCAATGTTTCAGGAACCATAGATCATGTTGAACTATAGCTAAACGAGTATTAATTTAGTTCCAATGTGGCCACTAGTTTAAGTGATTCTACGTGACATTATATTTTGTTTAACTAACTATGGGTAGTTGAAGGCGATCATCAGAAATTCGTATACCTAGGTTTTTATAATAGTTGTCAGCAAAATGTATCTACAATATGGAGAAAATCGTCTATTCGCCAGTGATTCAAACTCATACAACAGTCAGATATGCGTGACTTAAATTGTCAGGGTGTCAGTTTTCAAGTTGTTACATTGTTTCAAATATTGTTTATCTGAGTTATAATACAAGGAACTAATAGGTGAAAAATATGACTTTAGGAAAATAAATGTTGCCGATTTCTCACTCATTCAGTAGCTTAGTGATCTGTATGTACTTGAAAGAAAATTCATTTGACACTCCGGTTTTAATCCCAGCTTTGGAGGAAGTATCGGTCCCTTGATCTAAAGATTGTCTTAGTTTTATTCTTAATATATAATACAAGATCTGTAACAATTCATTCCTAGATTTTTATTTTTCAATAAGCAAATCAACATATATCATGGAACAGAAAGGCTTTGATTCAGGTTGTTAAAGCTACTAAAATTGACATCAGTAAAATAATGTTAAGACATATACCAAATGAAGGTCGTGAGTAAACAGGGAAATAGCCAAAGTTTATAGGGTTATCAATCCGTCAGCATTGCATTGGGAATAGATATGTAGCTTCATTTCTCCATCTTTTCTCTAAAATCCAACACTGTTCGAATAATTAGAGCTGATAAGATCCAACTATTGGGTTGCACCTGTTCTTGTATTGATGAATGAATATGTTGAAGATAGTAATTGACTGACCAGTTAAGGAAGATGGCTTTATCTGGTCACAGGGAACATAATAGATTATTTTTGATTCTCTCCGTGTCTAGTCTGATTTTATTCTACGTTGATTGTTTGTAATTGTTATCAATAAACTATTGTTCTGGTCTGTTGTAATCTAGTTTTCAATAGTTGACTAGTATTTGAGTTCACGTGACCAAGTATGGTTCTTTATTTAGTGATTCTATTATTCAATAACTAGTGTTCAGTTCTATTGTTCTTACCGATCATATATTTGTCTTGTGTCCTAGTATTCTAGTAGTAGGATTGCATGAATTCCAAGTACAAATCCTAATTTCTTTGGTTATACCATTGATAATTCTATCAATTCATTTGCCAAGTAACAAGGCTATTGTTATTACCCAGTTTGTCAAACTGAAGTGAATTGGGGTTCGGAAGCTAAATTTAATGGTTGAAACCAGTGTGCTTGAACTACCATCTGGGTTGCACTAATCGACACTTTGTCTAACTTATATTTATCATAAAAATGTAAACATACATCTAGTCTAGTTGTTAGCTTTTGTGTGAAACAAAAGAAAATGAGAAGAATAGTATTGAGTGTTTTGTTATTTTATTCATCTTCATTGTATGTCACAGATTAGTCCTTTTTTAAAGAAAGATTGTGTGCGATGGTTGTTCTGGTTAATTTTAGTAACAAAAATGGTTTTTCTCATTTTATATTGATTCTAGTTTGTTTCAATTTCAACATTCTTGTTGATTAATATTGCATGTCTTACATAAAGTACACGAAAGTGTAAATACAAATTGAAAGCACATACATACACACGACGTAAAGGTGTCTCTTACTGATAGCAATCAATCGGATTGAGAAATTTGACCTTACTAAAGATCAATTAAATCGATGTCTTTTATGTAGTTAGCTTAGTAAATCGATTTAGTGAGTAGCGGAAGGTATTTTGAGTCGGTTACTACGATCTGTAGATTGAAATAAGTTGTAAAGACTATGCAGAGTCTTCTGTTGGAACTCAGTAATAATGCCAGGATGTTTGGGATGCGTTTCTCCCCATCCAAATGAAAATTGTTACTCCAGGACTGGCCTGCGTCAACACTCGAACTAAGGATAGGGAGTGAAGTAGTCGAACGCGTCGACAACTTCACTTATCTTGGAAGTCTGATCAGCTCTAATGGGTTGGTGTCTGACGAAATCTCAGCACGGATTCAAAAAGCTCGTTTGGCTTTTGCCAACTTACGTCACCTATGGCGTAGACGAGATATCCGTCTATCAATTAAGGGACGAGTATACTGCGCATCAGTTTGTTCTGTTCTACTTTACGGCTGTGAAACATGGCCATTAAGAGTAGAAGATACTCGTAGGTTACTAGTATTTGACCACAGATGCCTTAGAAATATTGCTCGCATCTGCTGGGATAACCGGGTAAGTAATAGTGAGGTTAGACGCAGGGTATTAGGGAACGATGGTAAATCAGTTGATGAGGTGATGAATCTTCATCGACTGAGATGGTTGGGCCATGTGTTACGTATGCCTGAACACCGATTACCACGACGCGCTATGATGACTAGTATTGGGGACGGTTGGAAGAGAGTTAGGGGCGGCCAAACCAAAACATGGCATCAGTGTTTGAAGTCACTAACTTCTAGCCTGAGCCATGTTGGCAGATGCAGACTACCTGGTTGGGGTCCGCGTGACTATCGTAACCAATGGTTGGAGACTCTAGGTGACATGGCTCAGAATCGGTCACAATGGCGTAGGTGTATACACTCTTTATGTTCCCTTAAACCTTGAGACTAAAATTGCTTCATATCTCTCTTCCTTCCTGTACTATATCCTTGTATACAACCTATAATTTATATACTACTACCAACACTAGATTAACTACTATGAATCCGGTGTTCCTCTTGTTGTGCTAACGAGGTATGGCAACTTGGACCGATGGATATGTGTGCCTGGTCCTACGTTGTAGCTGACTGACTGACTGTAAAGACTATGCGTGCTTAGTTGACTCAGTATTGAATGATATGGACTGGGATCGGTGTTGTTTGCAGTGGCCTTATAACATTTAAAGCATCTGGCTTCTAACCACTGGTCAACAAGTTCCAGCTTTACTTAGTCACAGAGTTAGACTTATTATTAAGGTTAATTTTCGTCACTGATTAGTAATATCTGGAAGATTATGGAGAACCGAAATTCACTAAAGAAATTTTTGTCTTAGTTTAGACTGCCCATGAATGGACACCCATTAAACCACCTGGGGTCAAACTTAAGATCTTTCTGTCTCTCAATAAGTACTTGGGCTTCAATGACGAACATTTCCGAATTCTATGATATGGTGCAACATCGTTGAATTCTTTTTGTGGGTAGTTACCTTATTCTCAGAGTAGCTAATTCCTGATGGTTTCGTATAAAGTTGACCGGTTTGGTGGGTGTTCATTCATAGACAACCAAAGTGTATATCCATCTAACTTCGTACATATATGTCGACCTAATTTCCACTATCCCCCAAATTCTCTCACATGGCCACATGTATGCAACCACTGTCAGCAAAATCCTACTCGCTATCTTCTCGTGGAGTTACTGTTGTTTACGAAATTGAGAGGACGGAAAGCAAATGTCCGGTGGTTTAACCAGGTTGGTGAACATAGTGGATCGACCTAGGAGAGTTGTAAGACCGTGATTCCAAATCAATGGTTCAGATGGGCTCTAGGATGGTGAGGAGACAAATGGCGTATGAACCTATTGTTGGTCATTGGCTACCATGGAGCTGCATCTCCTTATGTTGCTCCACTGTTTTGTGGATTAGAACTTTAGATCGAAGGCTCCGAATGTTTCCCCCTAATAAATCCATTTGATTTGTTTTGGGCATCTGGCAGTATCACAGTCTTCACACAAATCGAATGAGTTGTTGTTGTATCCCGAAGAGAATTATGAATGGTAACTTTGAGGACTATTTATGGACCAATGTGATATGTATATTTCCCATTGTATAGTTGTTAAGTAACTAACCTAATCGTATTCGTGTTCCTCTTATCATTAGCTTTATTTTGACCTTTGAACTATTATTATACGGTTTTTGAGTTATCATCAGTCTATTGATTACTTTCCCCCTATTCACAGCCACATTTGGCCAAATATTGTAGAAATGTTATTTTCTATTTTATGGAATGATGTGGTCTGTTTGGTTGGTATATAAACCCAGTATGTTTGTGAATAATGATTCATATTGCAGAGGATGTTATTAGTGTTCTGGACTTAACTGGCTGGACTAGGCAGAAAAGCAGGACTGACGAGTACTCAAGACTGCTCATACGATTTTATGTATCAATACTCCGATCGATAATTCGTTCTTCTCTCATTGGTGGGAATCAGCGCGTTCTTATATTGAACTGGGCACGTACGCACCCACACGATATAACAGTTGTGTGACACATATCTATTTGGTGCCTCCTCGTATCAGTGTTTATGTGTTTCAATAAATAAATAAGTAAGTAAATGACGGAATAAAACAAGTCAAATACGAGTATTATTTTGGAAACACGTATTTAACACATCCATTAATGCAAACAGATAGTGAGAAAAAGGAAATGGATACGACAATTATGTCTATTCAATCTAATTTAAACCAGATCCTACATTTATTGGTATAGTACATACAGGCAAGTATCTAAATCCATATAACTATCATACACACATGTCAAGTTCACATATATGAATGACGGAAAAGTAGAATTATTCATCTGTTTAAAATTGTGTTGTCATGTAGTAAAATGGAGCCTTTTCCGTTTTCAAAAAGTTGATGTTTCATTTTTCTGTTTATAGATTAAAGCACACGCTAAAACTATTGGAATTTTAGTTGCTGAAAAAACTGAACTTCAGTCACAAGTGACGCACTTGGATAATTTAGCTGGACAACGATTGCGAGTAAGTTAATGTAGAAAAATTTCTAATAAGAATAAGATTAAATGTGTAGATGTTTTGGAGATCTATTTATGGACTATATTCGTCACATAGATAGATTTCAGTTGGGATTACCATTTAAAAGCAAGTAGCACTGAATAACGTTTATTCTAGGTTCGAACTGTTCGAAAGTGCGCACCGACAACCATTACCAAGAATGAACATAAACATGTTCAGGAGTTGGGATGAATGCTTAACCATTAAGACTACTAGTTGGAGACGTCTTGGTAAGATTTCAACTCCAATTTTAAGTTCAGGGCAATGATTATCCATTGCTAGAGGTGACAGGGTTTTCCATCCAGATATTTGTGAACCACACAGTTGATGACTTCTGATTGGACGTTCAGGAACATCTTCTTGTCAATTACCAGCGATCTAACTACTGTCGTTCAATTGAAGGAGTTTGTAGCAAATCTCTTATCACACACCCATGCGATTTGTTTTCACGTTTGAATTGGTAAACTTATAATTTTTCGATTTTTCCTGTTGTCCATATATTCGCCCTTGCCAATCACTAACGTTTAGCCTTAAGGTTGCTTTATACCTGTGTGTGTTAGTGCGTATGTATCTGTTTATACTCACTTGTACCTCTTTCATGCTATAAAGACTGTCACATATTGCTCACGAAGTCAGCTAATTCCTCCACTCCAGTTCACGTGCATTTTTCCTCCTCTCTTATTGTTTGTCTACAATATTGAATGTCTGAAATGTATGTTTCTCGAATACTTTGGTATTTGACTTCTCATATCTAGATTGTTATTAACGGGATACATGGATATAGTATATACGAAGTAAATAGGATACATATTTCATTGACATCAATAGTATTCGATCATATGGAGTCAGATTGCAGTCCACTAATGGTTTCGTGGTTTCTGGTTTTCAGTGTTACCCCAGGTGAAATCAACCTGTGGAGATTATAACCTACAAAGTTGGTAGGCATAGTGATTTGAAATGAGTATTTTTGTCACCGAATAACACAAAATATCTATTTACTACGAAAATTGTTACCATTGTTTTTTGTTTTAGGAGATCGAAGAAGTCAACTCTAAGTTAAAAGCATCACGTCAACAGATTTTAGATTTGGAACGTAACTTATCAGAGAGTAATGCAACTATGAATAGCTTACAAACTGGTAACAATGATCTACAGAATCAGGTGAGTGTTTCTTTGTTACTATTTCTCTTCAGTGCTTTGGATTAGTGTATCTGTCGCTCGGTGGCCTAGAGGTGAAGCTCTCACTTTGAGGATTGAAGGTCTTGAATTGGATTCCATGTGGGATCGCGGATGTATACTCTTGATAGGCTCCACTCTGGGACAAAATAGCCTCTCAGTGATCGTTTGTCTGAGAGGAGGAGTGGCTTTAGTGGGTGATATGTATGTTTTTCTTCCACTGAGTTCCAGGTTTGACCTCTACTCTATTTTAATTCTGATAATCGAGCAGTATTGTTCTTCCTTACACCCAAAGTATGGATTAAATCCAAGCAGGTGTTTAACGATGTAATTATTTTATATATTTTTAATGGGCACACTAACTACTCACTACCTTCTCATTTCCTGTCTATACAACCAGAGGTAGTCTGTGAATAAAATTTCAGAAGAATGTTTCATCCTCTTTTTCTCTAAGTGTTGCAACATAGTTTAAATATAATAACAAAGCCGATGGCGTTTAGTTTAATACTTTCATTTATTTGGTGAATTTGAAGTGAGTTTTCAAGCTAATTAGAATCGAAAAAGCGACTTCCAAGTTCTAACCCATTTTCCAATCTTCAGCGACATATATTGAACATATATGTTAAGATTGAGTTTAGTGTTATGCATTAACTTGCCATAGTTCCTAACTTTTAACCGTGACCTCAACTCTGAACTTCAACGGATTAAGACTAATAACAAACCTGAAAAGATAACTAGTCACATAAAGACCATATATTATTTGTATTACTATTATGATTATTCGTTCAGTTATGTTTGCTGTTCCATGGTTGGTTAAAACGAGCTAACATCTCCAGGTCCTTCGCTAACGCGTTGTGTTTTTACCATTTTACCATATTAGGACGACGAAACGAATATCAAAAGAAACTGAAAAAGTGTAGTAAAATTCATGATAAGAAAACCAAGTATTGAAGAGATGGTTCGTAAAAGCAGAATGTAGTTAGGTATGAATGAATACTGGGACTGTTGATCTACAAAAAGGCAAGGGGTGTGTGGATCTGTGTCATTGTTACTGGTGCTAACACCGTATCACACAACATCTCTATCCATTGAATACAATAATCGCATGGACTTTAACCAAGTAGTCTGTATCTACGAGTATGGCTTGCAAAAGTGGAGATAACTTCAGGGATTATTATCTCGTCTTGGTTTGGACACTACTAGCTTTATTCCATGTTGCGCGTACCAACAGCCATAATCGCTCATTATCATCGTCGATGATTAGGAGTAACGTACGTCCCAAATACCTCAAATAAGTTGTATTATATACTTACAGCTACAACTTATTAGGAATTTTCGGTTATTTAATAGAGAAGTTTAGGAAACATTTTATTTACAGAAATTCTTCTCATCGTTTCCTCTTCTCTACTTATTCCCACTTAGATTACATGCCTTCAGAAGAAAATAAAACACGAAGAAATTGCGCGCCGAGATCTTGAGTGTGAATTAGCTGAAACAAACTCTCGATTAACAGCCAAATCATGTGAGTTAGCTCAAACTGGAATAAGTTTAAAGGAATTAAAACAGCAACTTGAATTCTCACAAGTATGTTATTTATAAATTATTATTTTAATTGAGTGTGTTAATTTTCGAAAGTAGAGTGTTTTGAGTTTTGTGTGATAAACACGTTTTAGTTCAGTGTGAAGCAGATCACTTTGAACTGGCATCTCATCAGTTTAGGTGATATTATTGTGGACGGTACTCACAAGAATAACTGTAAGCAGTATGTGTTGGAAGGTGACCTCGTAGCTGTGTTAGTCATCAGGCGGTGATTAAATTTTCAGCATATGTAAAGCATAGCGTAGGCAGAACACTTGAAGACTAGACGAGAAGAAAGTTCGGACTGCAGAACACCAGAAAATGCAAATAAATTATGAAAGGCTATGTATATGTATTGTATAAACACTTTGTAATTTCTTTCGACAAACATTCATTCCTTCTACCCATTGCTTTGTTCTACAATGTCATTAGACTGTTAACCAGTTGGTAAATGGAAGGACATGAATATTAATGAACTGTATAAAAGTGACCAGAAATATTTTTGTCTTAGAGACCTTATCTTGCTACTTTTCTTGTCAGTTAGTAATTTAGTCAAATATATTCCACGTCATTCAAATGATTGTTTCTCAGTTTTGTGGAATCTGTTTGAGTCCAAATTATCTAGCACGTGATCAATCCGTGTGATTGGAAGTTAATGAAATGATTAGTAGAATGATAGTTGGTTAATGGTGATGTACACAATGGTACAACATAGTTCAATGGTCACAATATCGGATTAATAATTCAAACCTTAAAAATAAATCGATATAAAAAATCAAAACAACTGGACACTGAACGTAAGTTTCCACTTAGTAACATGACATATACAAAATGCTAATACAAAAGTGTTAGAGGTGTTGTTGTTTGACGAAATTGAGAGGACGAAGAGCAAATGTCCGGTGCTTTAACCGGGTTAGTAAACACTCAGGAACAAACTAGGAGAGTTGTAAAACCGTGATTCCAAATTAATGGTGCCCATTTGCACTAATATTTATGTGTTTAAATAAATAAACAAATCATATATAGGAGGAATTTTACTAAATTAGGTAGTGGGAACCAATAGTCTTCGGATACATTGTATGTTTAAAAAGTATATTTCCGCATTCTACTATTCAAAACGACATCATTTTGCGATACTGCAGTTAGATACGTTTTTATTGAGGTTTTTTCTGACTGTGTTGTCGTATTTGTCAGCTAGTCGTCGCTGCTAACTGTATATATCCTGACATTTTGAATACAGTGTTTTTTAAAGCAATTAGTCCCTTTGATAAATTTCGATAATGTAGTAAGAAGACGAAGATTATCAAAACTATGTGATATATTAGCGCAATACATTTCGAAAAATCTGATGACACATATACTTGTTAAGAACATTTATATATAAAAATAAAAGGTCAACTAGACTGGTAATAAGGTTAAGAAATGGACAAGGATAATAATGATAAAATAATGTGAAAACAACTTGATACCTAATCACTCTGGATTATAAGCATTTATTACCAGGGTAGGTTTAAGGAGAGAACAAACTGTTTTTGAATACACAAAGGGGGTTTGAATTTTCGTAGGGCTAAGACTTCAATATTATTGAAGTGTTTTTTGTTTTTTATTTCGAGAATACAAACAAGTCCCCAACCCATTGTTAACCGACAATGTGTAGCACTAAACGATGCAATTCATTAACCGCTGGTTTGAGCTGCATTGACAGTTACGAATTTACGGTTTGAAGCCCACGTTGTTGCTGTAAGTTTATAGTTTGAGACGTTGATTGTTGCATTCCAAGAATGATCCAAGTAGCGCACTTGGGTTCATTCTTGTGAATCTTGAGTTAGGTGTTAACTCATTTGCTATTTTTCATCTATATTTTTCATGTTCAACTTTACGTCTCATCTGATATCATTTTCCTTTCTCTCTCTCCCTTTCATCTTATCAATTAATTTCCTCTGTTACTGGGCTACTTTTAAGTGTGATAGATTGGATCGATACACATTGATGCCAAGCTGTATGTACCAAATAACATTTTGATATTTGTTTTCTGGTTTTTGTCTATTAAGATTTATGCTAATCAATTATTGAACACAACAAATAGTTTAGTGTGTTCGGAAGATAAAAAGTATTCTGAGGAAAAAGAAGAGTGGTTGTCAGAACGTGCTGATCTACAGAATCGATTGAAAGTGCTTGAATTGTCATTATCTTCGATGGATACAGAGAAGAAACAGTTAGATTCTCAGTATCATAACTACGTTGCACAGGTTTGTTTAATTGTTTTTTCTCTGGTTGTATTTCCCATATTTCGTACCACCATATTATTTGTTAACATATCGATTACGTTTGCATTTACTTTTCCAAGATTTGATTGTATGTTATTTTTTATAATACAAAGTGATAGTCGGGGCTAAGATGTTTAATTCAGTGTGTTTGCGACTTATTGGTTTGATGATGTATAATGCACAAAACATGATTGTGTTCAGTGTCATTTGTTATTTGAGGTACACTTCAGTCTGATAATTGAGGTTTGTAAATTAGTGAGTGTTTGAACTGTAAGTACTGGATACATGAATTCTAGATACGTTGTGAACCATTAAAATTGTCTGAGTCTAAATTCAAAGTTAATGTTGCCTATTGAAGGGTTTTATTGAATAAAACATATAAGGTTGGTTTGTAGCGAAATATTACAGGATTGATATTGTGAACCTTATGGAGTAATGTTGACTAACTTAACCGTGACATATAATGTGGAGAAATATAATTATTGAAAGAAACAGTTATGCGTGAATAATAATGTTGTGGAAGTAAACGTAATTGTTGCACTATGAACTTGCCAGTTTGAGAAAATCGCCGTATCACAAGTAATAACGAAATAAATAAGGAACTTGATAATTGGAAGTTGTCAGTTAGCTTAAAATGTTCACGGTATTTTTGACACATAATTACCACTCTGGGCATATACTACTAATGAACAGAAACTGGATAGAACTAGAAAGGGAGGCTCAAGACAAAGTGGTTTGGGGAATGCTGGTCGGTGGCCTATGCTCCATTGGGAGTAACAGGCGTAAGTAAGTAAGTAAGTAAGGGCATATACTACTACTGTGTTGATATGATTGAAGTTGGGAAAGATCGGGTTTATTCATACTATTTCACGTCTGGGTAAGTTTTCTACTCTATAATAATGTACGCTGTAAATTGGATTGATTAGATGAGGCAACCTGTTCGTTTATCTGTTTGTTTTTCTCCATGTGTTCAGGTTGAACAAGAGGCAAATGATTTACGTTGTCAATTATCTGAAACGAATAAATTAAAACAAGAAATGGAATTGTCATTGGAATCAGTTAGTCGACAATTACGTGAGAAAGATAATGAAATCAGTGATTTAAGTTAGTTGTATTAAATGTTTCGTTATTATTGTGAATCATTTTTAATTGTTATTTTTACATTGGTCTATAGTTTTCGGTGGTATGAGGTGTAAGTGATATTGCTTACTGTAGAGAAGTGTGGTTACAATAAGGTGTTCTCACTAGGTAACTGTCATTTACTGCGATGATTCTTTTTTTATAATGTGAGGAGAGGATGTGAAAACATCATCACTAAAACCATCACATCACCTTTCTCTATGTTTTGCCGTGGCCGTTGGTAGGGCCTTTAAAGTACAAAGCTAAGCACAAAAGCCTGGTTGTTTCTAGCATCAAGCTGTTATGCCGTGGTAACTGCATTCACGCCCCTAAGTCATTGAGACTACTTGTTGCAGTTCTCTTTGTTGGCACCTGGAACATAGTATCCTTCCACGGTTCAGACAGCAGGAAGTAATAACTGGCGTCATAACTCTTACATCACTCGAGATCATTTCAAATTATCATATAGATCAAGTGGACATGAGATCTATCATAAATACGCAAAACAAATGCGCAAAACACGAAATACATTTCCAAGGTTATGTAATTTCCAAAATTTCCTTCCTTTAATATCTCATTTACTAGAAGTAACATTATCAACCACTAGTCTAATCAGTGATCGCCTTCATTTTATTAAATTAGCATGTCGTTTGAATTCGATTCAAATAATTCCTACTCCATCGACTGTTCAAAGTAAACCGTTAACATCATCATCTGTTGAAGAACAAAATGTCAACTCTACAGTTATTGACCAACAATTTTTGGAGCAAATAGAAATGTTGGAAACTCAGTTAAAAAGTCGTACAGAAGAGTTAGAAAATGCAAATGTAGAAGTATGTTTTCCTAGTTGTATTTCTTTTGTTTGACAACAATTTTTTTAATTTCGATTATATTGTGTCCACAATTTTTTACACATACCATAAGTTTGTTTGTGATTTCGATTAGTTATAAGTATGTAGTGAACATGTATAATGAACAACTCTCCTAGCTGGATTCTCCGTGTTCATCAACTTGGTTAAAGCACTGGACATTTACTTTTCGTTCTCTCAATTTAGTAAACAACAGTAACTCCGCGAGAAGGTAGTGAGTAGAACTTCCTTGACAGTGGTGGTATACACGTGGCCATGTGAAGAGCATTGGGAGAGAGAGAGCTGACTCTACCCACTCTTGGTCGTACCAGGTCATTTGGCGGCATGCATAATTAGCGCACTCCATAAAACTAATTAAGTATTTGATAAAATTCTGATACTGAGAAATCGAAGGACTATATACTTCAATATGCCTTTGTTTGTAGGGGCAAATAAAATTTCTTACTCTTAGATTTCCACTACGAATAATACCGTAATAAATTGGGACATTTTAATGTATATGCTAAACAGGTTATCTGAAAATAGTTTGAAAGTAGCAGTTTTATTTTATACTATGTAGTAGATGATGAATACAGGACTTTGATCTATTGAAAAACTGATCAGACCTAAGAAATCGAGTATTTGATTTTGGCGTGAAATTCACTCACTTGTATGACAATTTAGTATTTTGGTACTATTGCTGATGCTACTTTTTGAAAAAAACCCTGACGTCTAACTCTAACTGTCAGTGCTAGTTCCTCACACCTATTTTTATGCTTGTTTTGTCCTTAGCGAGTGATTGAATTTCTTCCAGGTTACTTTGACAAGGCGTTTTATCACCTTCAAATACTCGTCACAGATGGATTTCAATTAGGCTATTATTGAAAATCAATAGAAAGTTGTATAGCTGTTTCATTCTACCGCAAGACTAATTGGTAATGTGTACTCACTACTTCTCCATCCATTGAACCCCAGGACCTAAATCTGTCTTTTTCCTAGCCATGTGAAATATATTGTCCAGACATGATGCGTTAATTTTTTATTTCATCTATTCTGAATCTTTATTTTTAAAGTAACTTTTATCTCGAAAATCACTTAAGTAATATCTCCTTAATTTCATGCTTTGATTTTAGTGTTCTATTTGTACTTGTATATTAGCCGTTTCATATTCTTTTAATAACAATCTTTTTGATTGTAGGTACGTCGATTAACTGTTCAATTATCTACATTTGAGGAAACTGTTGAACAGTTACAAAATTCGTTAGCTGATCGTGATGTTGTTTTAGCTACAGCCACATCGGAACGAAGTGCCTTAAGTCGAGCTGTGGAACAAAATAAGAATTTAAAACAACAATTATCTGATTTACAAACTGCATACACGCAAATGGTATGTCTTTTGAACATATTTTATAGTGTATAATAACCTGCTTTTCAATATTGACTTCAAGTGTGAAGATTATCGATCTCGCTGGGAAGTTTGCTAGTTATTTTTCGATGAAGATGTATTCTGTTCAATGAGGAAGTGTGTAGTTATTGCTCAACTGAATGAACTATTACACTAGTCCCCCTACTTGTGATAATATGAGTCACTGTTATGGTTTTCCGCAACCCATTTTAAGTCTTTAATCACTTGAAAATTCAGTTTGTTTTTATAATTTAGTAAATATAGTTAACCCATAGAATTACAGATATGCCGTTTTAATCATCTGCTGGTTGGTATTGTTTACAAAAGTCTTGTGTTTTAAAGTGTTGAATACATCTTTATCTGATGAAATGGCTGAGTCAATCAACATATCTTAAATGAAAGAAAGATTTAACATTTTCATACCCCGGTAGATAATAAAGGTAAACGTAAATCTTATGTCTGAGATTTTTGGAAGTTCGATGATCATCATTTCATTTAATAGTATATGGAAATCTATGGCGTTGTCGACCTATTTGTACTAATGTACTATTGGAATATCTGTGCCATAGACTAGTTGTATGTTGATGGCTAACTGTGGTTCTAGAATTGAAGTATATCTACAGATATATTTAACCGTATTTTAGGTTTACGTCTTCGTGTAGTCCGCCTTCAAATGTCCTAGTATGTTCTTTAGTAGGTAGAGTCAGCTCTCCCACTCCCAATGCTCTCACATGGCCACGTGTATACAACCACTGTCAGAGAAATCTTACTCACTACCTTCTCGTGGAGTTACTGTTGTTTACGAAATGGAGAGGACAGAAAGCAAGTGTCCGGTGCTTTAACCGGGTTGGTGAACACGGAGAATCCACCTAGGAGAGTTGTAAAACCGTAATTTCAAATCAATGGTGCACATGGGCTTTAGGATGGTGAGGAGACAAACGGTGTATGAACGTATTGTTGGTCACTGGCTACCCATGGGACAGCATCTCCTTATGTCGCTCCACTGTTTTATGGATTAGAACTTTAGGTTGAAGGTTCCGAGTGTGTGCCATTAATAAAACCATTCGCTTTGTTTTGGTCATCCGTGCAGTACACAGTTGATTGATTTCATAATCTTTGAATGTATTTTCTTGCGGCTATATCTTTTCTGATAATAAACTTTTTTTAATGTTCTGGTTTCTTTCTTTTATTGTTTGTTAAGTGTAATAATTATCAATCAGAAATTAAGTCTTCCAATGAAATGAATTATGCCTTATCTAAACAAATTGAACATTTGAATATTTTACAAATGGAGAATCAAAATCAATCCGAAAATATAATTAGTTGTACTATATTGTCAATTGATAATGCAACACAAACTGACGATAGTTCTGTTGTACACGATCAGCATTTGACCGTGAATGATTGTACTGTAACTGAATCATCTTCACAACGACTACAACAACAACCAATAGACAACATGGGAAAAGAACAAAATGTAAGTGATTTTGTCTTATTTGTCCACAAACTAATCAATATCTTTTCAAGTTGGACGAAATTATGTTTTTGATTTGTGTTTTGATATTTTCTCATATAGGGGGGGGGGCGAGCGTGTGTTCTTGAGGTTGTAACATGATGTACACTGTTTTATTCATGTCTGATTTTGATGGATGACTAGGGAAGTTAAGATGTAGTTAGCCATTCACTGAGCATGGACTCACAGACCCGTTTTACTAAGTATTTATATTGTGATTTTCTCGTTCTTATTGATTTCTACTCTGAACTCGCCGAATATAGACTGTTTGTACTTCTCATTGAATAAAGTAGTGCCTAGTCTGTATTCTGTAGTTTGTTATGTTTTGCTCGTGAATCGTGTATTGGATGTAATGTGATTCAGTCTGTGTTTAACATTATTGATGGAGTATCTCACCTACTGGTTGTAAAACTCTCGGTCTCGATCATATTATAGTTGTATATAACGTGACAAAACTCGAAATATTTCTATTCTGCTGCACAGAGCTATAATAGTATAACAGTGGTTGGTCATTGGTATAATTGACTAGCTTTCTTGAATGTATTGTATTGTTTGAAATTCACTACACTTACTTTCGTCAGTCGGGACATTTTGGTTATTGGCCATTGTATGTAGTGTTTGAGTACATGGAACTACTCTTACTAAATAGGTTCCATTATAAAAAAAGATTCGATCATAATACAAACTGTAGAGTACGTCAATGTCTTGGTAACACGTCAAATTGTTATAAAACTGCCACTGTTACATTTTTAAATTTGATTGTAGACTAATCTAAGTCAACTAACAGATGAGGTTGTATTGTTAAGAAATTTGTTCACGCGTGTTTCTGTAATGTGTCAGTGGTTTGAACATGGAAATGGAAAAATCAATGAACCTGACAAATTGTACGATCCAGTTTCTTGTGTTAATCTATTGGAAGAATCCATTCAAAATTTAGTGGGTAAATATTCTTCAAATGTAATAGACAATGCTGTACAATGTTCAATGTGTATGGAACAAAACGAGTTAACATCACATGTTGAAGAGTTACAAAATCTCCAGGTAACTAAAATTAGTTTGTGGTTGAAGTTCACTGTTAATTTTACAATTATATTTCATCTGAATTACCTAATAGTCAATCAATAATCAGATTAATTAAGCACACTTTTACTAATATTTTTTACGAAATCCTAGTATCAGATGTTCGATTTTTTTCTGTTCTGTAGAAGTTGGCAACGTTGGATTAGTGAATATCGATTATCATGTTAGTAAAGAAATTTATTATTAGTGCGACTGTAATTTACGTCAGGCCTTGAAATGACCCACACACTTTGTCGGACCTACGCATTACTAATATCGTGTTGAGATTTAGTGTCAGCAATCCTTCAGAGTTAACGATGATCAAACACAGAGAGTCGTCCATCATCCTCAACTTGGAGAGGCTAGGTTTCTCACACATAAGGTTAAACTGTTCTCATCGACGCGTTGTGAATGCGACCGTTTACAGGCAGATTTACATCAGAGGGGACCAAAGATGGTCCAGATTTGCATATACCTTTCTGGCTTTTACTACACGTCAATTGATTTCATCACTCACATGACTACTAGCACTTACACAGTTATCCAGATATACGGACTTCTTGACTATTTGTAACTGCTCAGTTCGTGGAGTGAGTGGAGCTGAAATGTTCATTCATCTAAACTATGGTCGTCATCAATCAAGCTTCCATTATCAAACTGATTATTTTTACTCTAGTTAATTGTTCCGGCAGGAAGAGTATAGAAATATAGTGGTTCATTCTATTGATTTCAGAGTTGAGAAAGATTACCATAACACACGGACATATCAGATACACTGGGCAATGAAGAACTAATGGATTGTTTATCTTTCATAAAATGATGAACATCATTGAACCCTTATAGTATAGTGCTTAGGGTTTCGAATTCGATAAATAATAGTTAAAGTTTTAATTAGTTGAGAGAGAGAAATAGAGAGAGGAAAATAACTTAATTAAATGGTGAATTTTTAAAAAATTATTTTAAAGGTTGCTCATACACAATTGGAAGCTAAATTTCTGAAATGTATGGAAAAGCTTAGTTCTGTTACAGAGGAACGCTGTACATTAGAACGTGTAAATGCTCAACTAGAAATGGAAGCTGCAACAGTTGAAGAATATGTAATACTTTTTACGCATCGACGTGCTGCAGCCGCCAAACGTGCAAAAACTCGTGAACTATTACTTCAACGTTTAGTGGAGGACAGAAAACGTTTACGTAATCGTTTGGAGAAAATTTTTTCACAAATAAATCCAGTATACATTGAGAATGGTTATGTGAACGGTCAAACAGAACTTGCGAAACAGCAGGCAGACACAATACCGAACGATTTAAGTAAGCTTTTATTGGATTCATTATTCTGGTTGTATTTAGCATTTGTTTTCTGCCTATATTTGTTTACATCACTGCCTATAAAATTCAGTATGATTTTGAGATTCGATGTAAGAACTCGGTAGTATGTATACTTCAAACTTATCAGTGACTAGAGTCGAGACGGTTGTGTCCTAAAGAAAACGTTTTACTGTTATCATCCAATGAATATCTATGGGTTTACACTCTATTTATCGTTAAATGATGCGTGATATTGTCCAACGCAGCATTTGCATATCTATCTGGAATAGTTTTCATTCGAAGATGGTTTTTATCAGCAACTGACATCTGTAGAAATACTTTATTTATTTAAACACATACATATTGGTCAAAGGGGCACCAGATACATATGCGCCACACAAAACAATGATAATGGAAGAGAAAGGGGGAAGATGCGTATATATAAAAGAAAAAAGAATGAAAAAAGAGGAGAGTAATGATGGGGGCGGGCTGAAATGTACAACCAGAAGACTCTTTCAGTTAGGAAAGTTAGAACCATTCTTTATGTAGAAAGTAAAAGGTTGCAGCAGGACCGCCACTGGCTTCTATTCTGAGCCATATCTGATAACGTCTCTAGCCACTGTGTTGCACCAGGAAGTCGTGAAGGACTAACAGAAGCCAGCTCTTTGCAGCTTTCTTTGATAGCACGATACTATGTCATACACTGACCACCTCTCCGCTTTTTCCAACCAGTTCCAGCGTCCACAAATAATGCACGACGTGGAATTCTCTGTGACGATATTCGTAGAACATGTCCAAGCCACCGAAGTCGGTGTTTCAAGATGGTGACACCAATTGAATTATCGTCTCTGCACCCGAACGTCTACATAATGCTTCATATATTTCAGCAGTAATCGAATGTATGTCAATCTGTGAAGAAAGCCACTTTGAAATTAAAAGCAAATGAATCTTTACCATTTGTATTAAGTGCGAATTACACATGATTCTTTCTATCAAGTTAAAAGTGACCAATAATTTAGTAAATGCTGGTACGAATTATGCGTTGACACAAGCCCCTGAAGTGAATCAACACAGTAAGGTCGAATTAATAGTTGAACCCTGA